TGCTTCTGAGGATAAGTTCATCCGAGTCACCAGCCTCAGAAATCGCAAGTTAACAGCAGCTCAGATCAGAGACCAGATGAATGCCACACAGAGTTCTAGCAGCAGACCCATCTCTAGAACAACTGTTAAGAGGAGACTGCGCCAATCAGGCCTTCATGGTCAAATAGCTGCTAGGAAACCACTGCTAAGGAGAGGCAACAAGCAGAAGAGATTTGTTTGGGCCAAGAAACACAAGGAATGGACATTAGACCAGTGGAAATCTGTGCTTTGGTCTGATGAGTCCAAATTTGAGATCTTTGGTTCCAACCACCGTGTCTTTGTGAGACGCAGAAAAGGTGAACGGATGGATTCCACATGCCTGGTTCCCACTGTGAAGCATGGAGGAGGAGGTGTGATGGTGTGGGGGTGTTTTGCTGGTGACACTGTTGGGGATTTATTCAAAATTGAAGGCACACTGAACCAGCATGGCTACCACAGCATCCTGCAGCGACATGCCATCCCATCCGGTTTGCGTTTAGTTGGACGATCATTTATTTTTCAACAGGACAATGACCCCAAATACACCTCCAGGCTGTGTAAGGGCTATTTGACCAAGAAGGAGAGCGATGGAGTGCTGCGGCAGATGACCTGGCCTCCACAGTCACCGGACCTGAACCCAGTCGAGATGGTTTGGGGTGAGCTGGACTGCAGAGTGAAGGCAAAGGGGCCAACAAGTGCTAAACACCTCTGGGAACTCCTTCAAGACTGTTGGAAAACCATTTCAGGTGACTACCTCTTGAAGCTCATGGAGAGAATGCCAAGAGTGTGCAAAGCAGTAATCAGAGCAAAGGGTGGCTATTTTGAAGAAACTAGAATATAAAACATGTTTTCAGTTATTTCACCTTTTTTTGTTAAGTACATAACTCCACATGTGTTCATTCATAGTTTTGATGCCTTCAGTGAGAATCTACAATGTAAATAGTTATGAAAATAAAGAAAACGCATTGAATGAGAAGGTGTGTCCAAACTTTTGGCCTGTACTGTATATATCATAGTTTATTATCTGATTTATATTTTGTATTAAAAATCTAAATCTCCAAAGTAACTAAAGCTGTGAAATAAATGCTGTGGAGTAAAAGTACAATATTTGCCTCTGAAATGTAGTGGAACAGAAGGAGAAAGCATCATATGGGCTAATAGAAATACTCAAGTAAAGTACATGTACTTTAAAGTAAATGTACTTAGTAACATTCCACCACTGGAAACATGTGTAACTGAAACACATATTGTTATGTAACGTTCCTCATGGTGGAATTTGTATTTGTATTGTACTGCATCAATAGCAACAAAAGCACAGAGGCATCCTAACAATCAAAACCATGCATGTGTCGTCCTTTATTTGGAATATCATTTATCCAGATTTTTCACACTGTATACTGTATTTCCTGTTTCACCTCCTGATCCATGCAGCACATTTAAACCTTTTGGCAGTAGTGACACATGACACACTGCAGTGGTGTGGACTACAAAGAGAGGACTCCCATGAGTCTGTAAAGCTATTGTCTTCATTTAGTGGCTGTGATCGCTCACATGACCCCATGGCTGTTTGTGTGTACACTGTATGTAACACAAAAACTTCACTCTGCCACACAACTGTTTGACTCGCTCTGATAAACACATTGTGACAGGCAGTTCAAAGTACAACAAGCTGTGGTCAGCACCGAGTAACGCAACACACCAGACAGGCTCTGAACACACGCAACTGCAATTCAAGTCTTTAAAAAGTGAAACCGTCTCTAACTGAACTGTATTTATGACGTGCATTTTCCTAAATTACAGACCTCAGTGAGCCTAGCCCAACCCTTGACCATGATGGAAATGAATGACATCCTGCCCTGCGCAGGGAAACTATGAATGATGTTGATGAAGGAGTCGCTCTCTTACTATTACTGTGTGGTCACGGTGACACACAGCAGGCAAAGTCTACAGCACACAGACTCTAGTAGTAGTGTTTACTGTCTACCAGTTGATGTCAGGCTTCAACTGATGGCATCTGCATGTCTGGACAACTTTTCCTTCCCAGCCTCCACAGGGTGGCAGAGCGGGGTGAGAAATGATTCAGTCACACTGTAGTTTCAAACTTCTGGTTTGTGACACCTTAAAACAGAACAAAGTCTACTTCTGGGGCCGCCCAACCAAAGAGTTAATCTTCCTTCAGAAACAGGAATTTTAGAGACCATATTTGACAATTGATTAAGTGTATATTAAATGACCAATAATCACCAACTGAATAAAGTTTCACTGCCACAAATTGATTATCTGAAGAGTATGGCTAAATGTATAATTACATAATCAGAGAATGAGGTAGGAACATTTTCTCACACAAAAAAGCTGATATTTTACTTTGTCCATCCATCTATTTTCTGTAACCGCTTATCGTGATGGGGTCACGATGGGCTGGAGACTATCCCTGCTGACACTGGGCGAGAAGCAAGGTACACCCTGGACAGGTCACCAGACTATCACAGGGCTGACACATAGAGACAGACAACCATTCACACCCATACTACTATATTCACCTAGCCTGCATGTCTTTGGACTGTGGGAGGAAGCTGGAGTACCCAGAGAAAGCCCACGTTGAGACGGGGAGAACAAACTCTGCACAGAAGGGCTCCCCTACCCCAGGTTCAAACTGGGAACCCTCTTGCTGTGAGGTGACAATGCTAACCACTGCACCACTGTTCCACCTATTTTACTTTGTTTCATAAATAAAGACTGATTTTATCTGATTTAATTTAATTATTTTAGTTAACTTTAATTCAGTAGATTTATTTTAATTCAGTCCATTTTGTGTAATTTAATATAATTTTCTTTAATTAAATATATTTTAGTTGATTAAATTTACTTTATTTAATTATTTAATATAATTCAGTTTAGTTATTTAAATGTCTTCTCTCTTTTAGTGCATTTTATTAGTCTGACACAACACAGTGTGTAATGTAACCATATCATAATAACCGTTATCATTTTAAGAATGGCCTGAGGCTTAATGTAAAGAATCTTGAACTGTATGTTAAGCCTCACATGGAAAGTGCAAATTATAGCAAGACAATGCTTTTCCTCCATTAACAACTTCTGACTCATTTTAACAATCAAGATTGCGAGTGAGGACGTAAATATCTAAATACCTGAAACACTCTATTCACAGTCAAAACATACCGCTGTTATCTGCAGACATGAGACGCTCCCTCTCCTTTGTTTGATCTTATTTTAAAACGCAGCTCACAACAGTGATTTTTTTTCTCAGGTGTGTGTGATGGAGTGCATGTATGTATGTTATGTGATATGTGTCATGTGGTATGAAAAAAAGAGGATGACCTTTCTTTGCTCCTTGACCTCTGACCTGTTCGCAGCCCAAAGCTAGAAGGGATGGAAAACAAGGTGTCACTATGAGGGCCAGACATTGCCGTGGCAAGTTTGAGCCACTGTGTAAAAATTCCAGTTGGTTATAAAAACAGTAGTAATAGTTTTAAAACTATGGGTCCTAAAATACAGATGTGGTGAAATAGTAAAAGCATTTTCCCCTCTCTTAACCCCCAGTTGTTTATTTTATGTTATATTTTACATATGTTTTATTGCTATTCAGCCTGAAGCTAGTATTGAACAGTTGTAACCTATTTCTAGTCTGTCACATAACGCTGATTCACTTTCGCCTCCAAACTAAAAGAGAACTTGTTCCCACTTGCCCGACAGTTGCCTCAGGAATAGTCACATTTTCTCTCAGTGATACAATTGAAAGTGTATTCTCTCTGCAAGATTAATTTGCAGTGGCACTATCTTTGTTGCACAGATTTCACAACCTGTGTCAGCACTCCAGTTTTCAGCTGACAGCTGAAAAGATGCAGTAACAGAAGAAATTCTGTTGATTTTCACTTAAAAGGCCATGAAAATAACTAAATTCTGCTGATTTTGCCCTAAATTACTTAAAATCACTTCACCCTTTGTGTAACTTATGACGAAATGACATCATGAAGAGCCTGCACTTGAAAGAAACAGTGGTGCAGTGTTCCTCTGAATGCTCTCGCAGTGTCAGGAACTGGTCAAGCCAGATCTCTCAAAAGCCTTGAGCCACATCCTCACAGAGGAATGAATTCCCACTTTATCTCATGACTCACCACATCTTTTTATGGCTGAGACTTTCTACCCAGTACAAGCAGCTAACAGGACACAAGCTGATCCCTCCCAGTTTTATTACACTACAGTATCAGCTGCTGAATGTTTACTTCGTCAGTGGAGTTAAGTGGAGGGAGGAGATTGAGGGTGGGCCCACCTGTCAAGAGAGACGAAACCTGCAAGCGTTGCACCACTGATACGGTCTCAGAGGAGTTTAGGGGAGTATGACTGCAAGCTAAGGGAAACACACTGGTGGCAAAGTCTATCTATTGACTGACGAGAAGGAAGATCAAAATGGGTGGCACTGTAAGTCAGAGGAAAGGCAGCAAGCAAGCCAGCTTGAGGAGTCACTCCAACAGCGTCCCGTGAGTCAGATCACCTGTTTGATGCTTATTTTACAGCAAACATTGACTGTCGCTTCATCTGAATTCACTGCTTTAAAACTTGCATTCCCTACAGCTGAACCAGTGATGAATGATGCTTTATACCTCTCCCATATTACTAGTTACTATTTGTGAAGTTGTATGCAGTTAAAGTAATACAGTAGCACTGAGAATATGAAACATGCTACTATATTTTACTACGGTGAAACTTATACTTGGATTTGCATTCTTTTTCCATTTGGTGTGACAGTGGCCTCTGTTCAAGCGTACACTCGCACACACATGCAAATATTCACACACCCTCAAAGTGAACCCACAGATAAAGACTGCATACACATGGACTGTTAAACGTGTTTGCTCACTGGCTTTGACACAAGTATGTGCATGTGTGTGCCCATTTGCTTCTGGGCAAACACACTAATGACAATAATAACAACAGGTAAAGAATCAAACAGAAGTAAAAGGTTGATCAAGTTCACATTTTTATGTGCAACATTTCTGTTTTAGCTGTCACACCGAGCAGTTGTGACTGGTTTAACATGATCAGTTACAGAGTTGTCGAAACACATCCAGAGATACCTCATCGTAGCATGATCTCATTGTGAGAAATAAAGCTTCGCCGTGTCAATATTTGCTTGAGGCGATTCACGTCCTCTTTGTTCTGGGAGGTACAGTGGCGGCTCCCTGTAGGTTGGACTACAGACACATTGGACCGTGAAACGCACACACTGCTGCTCCTCAGAGTGTTTTGGAGGGTAAACATTCCACACAGTTCACTGATGTGGGTGATGAAAAAACACTCTAAAACCACAGATACTGACATTTACAGGTTCTGTTAATGCACAGCACTGGACAACTGGTTGACAGACAGTGTGACATGATTGCGGTCCCCTTCTGTTCTCTTTCTATCAAGAGCAGCTCAGATTCAGTTGGTTGCTGCAGTCTTCAGCGATGTTTCCTCATGCTGAGGGCCGTGAGAGTAAAATAACACTATAACACTTCCTTATGATGAAAATAGTGTTATTGCTTTCTGTAATTTAGAGACACTGCATCACATTTCCTCAGAAAGTAGAGAAACTCATACGCATCAAACCTCCGAGCATTTAAATCTACAGTATACTGTATCTCAGTTATTCCTAACTTTGTCCGTCTGTATCAGCACCTGCTGGTGTGTTTGTAGTCTCAGTCTCTTCCCCTTTGACCCAGGCTTTGGGTGACTTGTTCTGTGTTTTAGGTGACAGCATGTCAGGCTGGCACGAATCTGCAAATCTTTCACGCGCTTTCTCCCAGTTCTTATGGGACCTTGATTTGGTCATGGAGACGGCATCTAGAGACATGGCAGCGCCGGCCCCCAAACCTGACTGCGAATTTCTGATTTTCAGTTCAATCTGTAAAGAAAGGAATGAGAAGGAAATCGAGTAATTTTGTTGCTTCACAATACATTTTCATTCAAAATAGAATCTGCCAGCAGAACACCAGATTGTCTTACCGGGTTTTTCATTCCAGTCCCCCCTTTGCCCAGACCTTCTCCTTTCTTCCAGCCCATCTTCTCCAGCATCTTCCGTCCTTTATTGACTTCACTGATCTCCCTTTAAGAATACAAATAAGACATCCGTCATACGTCATACGTTATTTTCCATCTTTAGCAGTTACAGTTAAGGACGATATGCTTACTGATGAACAGAAGCAGGTGCATCATCTCGCTGGAAAACACCCTCGCTGCCAACCGTCTGTCGTCGAGACTCTGCTCGGTCCGTGTATTTGGGGTTCCTCAGGGCTTTGGCCTCCTCGTATTCACTGCTCTGTATACAGAAAAGCACAGAGATGACTGGCTGCATAAAGAGAAGAAGAGGGTTTAAAACTTACACTGGCGGCTGCTAGTCCTAACACTCACCTGCAGGCCATACTTGGCCTTCATCTGCTTCAGCTCCTTTTGTCTCAGTGCTTCTTTATCCTCTTTGGTGAGAGTGGGGCCTTTAGGGAAAAGTAGAGCCGAATCTTTCACTTTAAAATCATTTTCTTCTCATGACATGGTAAACGAGCACAACTAGTACGTACTTGAGAAATGGCTTAAAGACTCAACAGACTCAATATATCACTGCTGTTTCACGAATATAAACTGTTCGCGTTGAGCTGGCTCACCTGTGTTCTCCTCTCTCCTGTACTTGCTGAGGTGAGCCATCACCTGACCGGGCTCACAGCCATCGCAGGTGTCAGTCCCCGTGTGGATATGGAAGGACAGCACAGTCTCTCCCATCTTCACCTCATCCCCGTGCATCAGTGCATGTGGCTCACACTTGGTTTTGGGCTGCAGGGGAAAGATGCGTTGATAACATCACTGCTGTGTTCACGTTTTACTGCTTTATTTTGAGGCAACAAACTGAGACAAAATGTTAACCTGCAAGATCCTGTTGCCATTAATGACCGTTCCATTCTGGCTTCCCTGGTCCACCAGCATGTAGCTCTGCTGCTCCTGGTCAAAGTACACCTCTGCATGGAACTGGAAAGACAACACAGTTCACAGTTTGAGACATCAAATTTGCAAATGAATTAAGAAAATACCTGGACAAAAACAGAAGTGGAGACAGGTACCTTGCTGACTCCCATTTCTGGTATTCTGATGGCATGGTCCATATCTTTCTCTCTGCAACACAAAGACAGCAGATTGTCTTCTTTATGACTTACCGAGAAGTCAGTTTCTCATATTTTCACTAAATGACACACTACTTGCAGCCTTGAAAGGGGGGTCATTTCTCAGTTCTTATTTAAATCAAAGTTATTCTGTTTTTTTGGTACTGCGGCTTCAGCACTACACAGTTCCCCCTGTGGCAACCTAAAACAATATGCACTCACTCTGTATGACCTCTTTAAACCTTTTACTGATATGTAACTCATACAAGAGAGAAAATAGCACAAACCTTCCAATGGTGGCTGGAGAGTCAGCTGTGATGATAAACAGAGTGCCCACCTGCAGCACTGGAGACCTGACCACTGTCACTCTCACACAGGGCGGCCAAATGTCTCTGGCTGCAAGAAAAATAACAAAGCTAGTGTTAGGAACAAATGACAGGCGATGATCTAACTAGCATAAAGTTACTACCAGATTACACTAATTTGCCCAACAACTACTTGTGAAGGAGGTGTGCCCTGAACAAGCTCTAAATTTAGCCTGTTTTCACTCTCACCTTCATGACTCTGAGTCTCCATTTCTGACTCTGGGCTTTCCTTGGAGGAGGAGCTGCTTGGAGATGATGAGAATGAAGGAGTGGACTCCCACTCCTCTTTCTCCGACTCTGTGATTTCACCCTCTTCTGGTTCACTGTTCCCCTCAGAGTCTTCGCTACGAGTCGGGCTCTTTTTCTTCTTTCGCTTTTTTGACTTCAATTTTTTCTTCTTCTTTCTCGACCTACTCTTATCGTCATCATCGTGTGAACTGCTTTTCTGCTTCTTCCTCTTTGACGAAGACTTGTCACTCTCCTCTCTGTATTTAGAAGAGTCTTTTTTATGTGGAGCCACATCTGGACTGCGAGACCTTCGCTTCAGTTTTCGTGATTCTTGGGTCCTCTTTGTCGTTTGCCGTTCAACCCACTCAGTTTCTTCTTCTTCCATCTTTACCTCTTCATTTAAGAGTTCCTGTCATCAGACAGTAAACACTGATGTAACTGTATCCAGTGATGTTTGCTGACAGAAGGCAAGCTGGCTTTGTAGACCCCATAACAACACCATGTCTGGCAATGTTTTTGTACATGGTTTCAGTCTTCAAAGACAATTCACTACAGACCCCCAGGGAAATCTTCAAGTGATCTAAATATTACTTTGCACCCAGATTTATAAGCACGGGCAGCCAAATCCTTGAGTTATTTGTGGTCTATAACACTGTACAATGACTGAGTGATGTCCTACAATATGAAATGACTGAATGCTTTATGAATCAAATTCCAACTCGCTTTCACTTGGGCTTTACTTTCCTAGTTTGGCCATCACATTATTGATTTTGTCAAAATGTCATCGCTTACTTTAAAGCTTGCTATATAAACCAAACAAGACTAACGATGTGTGCTGTGAGTCAACTAGTTGGTTTAACATTGCTACCCTTAGTAGTTATTATCAGAAATACTAGTGGATTTAACTTATTATTTAGATACCCAGAGGAAACAAAGATGAAGTGTCTGGTTAGGTGAACTTACTAGCACACTTGATATGGAAAGGCTACACTATCATCTATCAGGGAGGCCCAATATTTTATTAAGATCATGCAGGGAAATTAGTCATTGGGAGCATCCTTTAACAAGACTGTGTGTATCATCACATCACATTCAAATACTTTAAAGATGTTGCTTTGTGTGAATCACAGAACCTGACACCTTCAGTGGAACTATATGGATGATTTGTCAGTATGTATTCCTCCTATTGGGATGGCAAAACTATTGAATTAAAGTCCATGTTAAAAACATTTTTAACTATTCTTTTCAACTGCTTTACATGTTGATATTAAAGATGTACCTCTGTGGCGAGCAGTATTCCGGTAAGAAGAAATCTTCATTTTAGCCAATGAGTTAGTCACCTCTTGCACCTAGGTCAGAGGATAATCTTTTTAGTTGACTAGCCTCAAATTTATACAATAAGAAAAAAAAATAAGCATTTGAAAACTGAAACCAATTAAGTCACGAGTATTTGAAACAACAGATTTTAAGGGGAACTACAAAGTCAAAAGTCAGCTGTCAGTCACCAATTATATAATGTATGTAGTGCATAATTGATGCACCTTTTTACTGATGCACCTTTTTACTGATGCACCAATTATATAATGTATGTAGTGCATCAGTAAAAAGGTGCAGGTGTTACATACCTTATCATCCCGGCAGGTGGTTTTCTTAGACCCTTTCTTTAACTTTCTGCCCTTCTTTTCACCAGTGCTCTTGTCTTGGCAAGGCTCTGCAGCAGTTTGCGCAGCAACAACCTCAATCCTGGAATGAAACTGGTATCGCCCACTCTCTGCATCATAGTAGTAGTAAATGCCTGTGTTGGCATCATAGTACAACTGACTGGCCTGTGAAAGAGAAAAACATGTATAAGATCAGAATACTGGTACATAATCTATCAGGAAAGAAAAGTGCATTGCTTCTAAAGTAATTCTGCTATAACGTTAATGAAAAGGGTGTTTGACAAACCGAGTCATAGTAGAAGCCAGTGCTGTGGTCATAGTACATCCCAGTAGTCTCATCAAAGACAAACCCAGTCTGTGTCATAGCTTCTTCAGCAGTGGCCCTCAACATATCAGCTATGGATCCTGCATCGCCCTGCTGAAAGAGACAGCACCATTTATTGGTCATAAAAACTCCAATTTAAGAAGAAGACGACATACATTACTTATCCCTAAGGGGAAAGTCAATTTTTTCAGTCTTGTTATTTACATGTTACATATACGCAGGCCCAAAATATACACACACATACACAAACAGGGCCTATACACATGCATTAAATTGAGAGATGTCAAAGCAAGTGGGCTGTCAGTGGACAGGTGCCCCGAGCAATTGGAGGTTCGGTGCCTTGCTCAAGGGCACCTGGACAGTGCCCAGGAGCATGAATTGGCACCTCTCCAGGTACCAGTCCACACTCCACACCTGGTCCTTACGTAGACTTAAACCAGTGACCCTCTGGTTCCCAAGTCAAGTTGTTATAGAGTGAGCTACTGCTGCCTAATAAATTAATCTAATGTATTCGTATCAACATCACCTAATTTTTGTATTTGATAATGATTGTTTTAGATCTTTGTTATGTAAAAAGAAAACTTTGAATCTTTTAATCTATCTTTTTAATTAAACAAACCTCGGTCGTAACTGCAACACTGTCATCAGGGTTAGGGTTAAAATTGGCATCAGCAGCTGCTGCTTCATTTGGTGTTGTTGAAACATCTGCTGCCTCACTGCCATCAACTGCATCCACTGCTGCTGTGTCCACTGCTGCTGCATCCACTGCTGCTACTGTGTTGAGGCCTTCCTGAGTTTCTGAACCTTCTGGGTTCTGAGAGTAGCCTCCATAGTAGTAGTTGTAATAATCTGGAAAGGCGAATTAAAAACAGTTTACTCACTTCTGACTGACTGAAATGATCATCAATTTACTTCATGTAAATATAAAATGAACACACCAGTTTCTGTCCATACATATTCTTCTGTCTGAGTTTCACTGTCGACTTTGTCTTTTTCTCTCTTCTTGCGCTCATGAATCTCTGCGCTCAGCTTGTCAACCTGAAACAATATATTTTTAGATAAATTCAACTGGCTGACATCCTTTTAATAACCACTGTAATAACATGATAATAGGATTGCAATGATCTACAAATTCAGACTGTTTTAATTCAGGGCTTTTTGCTGTGTTTTATAACAGACAGAATACACCTATTGTCCACCAGAGTGGAAATTTGTCTTTGGCGCACAAACACAGGAGACTAATATAACAATCAAACAGAGGAGCAGTTAGTGAAGCAAACATATTGATAATATCATTAGAAACACAAAGTCTGACTCATGTCAGTGTCTGTGGTTAACTCATCAGTCATTTTGTTAAGTTAAGAATGCTGATGGTAGGGATGAGGGGCTTCTTAAATATGTCTTTAATGGCCAGAGGGACACTATAGCACCTTCAGGAGCTTAAGAGCTCAAACTGGCTCCCGAGAGGATGGGAGTTATCTGCTAGGGTACTCCACGCTTTCTTCCTACTCCTCTCTGTAAAGAGTGGAGTCAAGGGCTTTGTGGCATGCTAACTATTTTACCTACCATTGAACCAATTCTAATGAGTTTTCTCTTAAATGTATAATTTAGCTGACCGTACCAGGCACCAGGATATCTCAGCAATACATTCTATAGTACGCAGCAGTGGCAGCACAGTAAAACAGAAGTTTTGCAGTTGAGAAAATGTAGTGCCAAATAAAAAGGCTATCTGACGGGGAAGTAAAGCGGTGAAATAATCCTCAATATAGTGCCCATGTAGACTGATTGTTTTTTTGTTTTTTTTTTTAAGGTGGCCAAAATACACTTTGATGTCAACCCTCACCCACAGCAATGTATTGTTAAGCTTCTCTGGTGGGTCTCCTGCATGTTATCCCAAACTGGGGGCTTGCTGAACATGATCTACTGTATGTAATACTCTGACTATAAATAAGAACCTCATACAGCCCAACTTCAAAAATCCCGAACTATCCCTTTAAATCTTCTCAATCATAGTTTTGTACACTAGGTCTAAAATCTGCTGAGGCCACTATGTTTCCTGTGAAGATAGAGTGGCTGTGAGCATCTCTTGATAAAATACTCCTTAAAATATACAAAAACCTTACAGAGATATTTTAAGTGTGGCCATCAAGTGAAACTGGCTCTATTTTCAAATCTTGTTTGGTGCAAATAATCAATTCATTAGATGCAGACTACCTCGTCTAAAATAAAGACCACCTGTGCTAAGGTGATAATGGTCAGTGTTATTATGCACTGACCTGTTTCCTCAGGTCTTCGTTGTAGCTCTCTGTGCTCCTCTGAAGTCTTTCGGACTGGCTCAGCTGTTTCTGCAACTTGGCCAGCTCTGTTCTGCACTCATGGAGATCGTGCTTCAAAGACTCTACTTTCAGGCGGAGCTCTGCTTCTTCAGACTTCGAGTCCTTTTCTTCATCTTCGTTCTCCATTAGTTCAACTGGAGACAGCAACAGTCAAGCTTGTAACTTACATCTGCTTGGAAATATCAGCCATAGAAGCTAACGTTAGCACTTCTAACGCTATCAGTTTCAGGACGAAGATAATTCTTTATACAAAGGCAGCAGATAGCACAGCTGGCACTGAAAGTCTAAGTAACTATACATTTTTCAACACAGCACTTTTGCTAAATAAATGTGTATACACGTGTGTTAATGACAGCTATCCCTATCTGTGCTAACCTGGCTATGTTAACATTAGCTCCTACCGTTTACGTCGTTTTCGTCTCTTTGGCAGTGAATTTCCTGTCAGCACGACACATGAACCGACCTGAAAGTTGAGAATAAACATTTTGTAACTACTCTGTATTTCCGACACACTCCAGTACATGTTTTGATGATAATTAGACAGTTACAGTTATAACCGTTGTAATGTTTACTCTCCACCCTGTTCGCAACCGCCATTTACTAATAATTGACTACGTCACAACGGAAGTACTTCTTCTTCGGGGTTGGCGGACTTCTTCTCCTCTTTCACACATTTAGAATGCGAGGAACTTTACTGCCGCCCATCGACGATATTCATGGTGTACCAGTAAAAACTAGTATATCCAGTTCTTTTTATTTTATTTTTCACCTTATCTTTTGTCAAATAACATGTTCTCAACTTCTCTGCTCTTTAACTTCTCTGCTTGATGAGGTTGACTACAACATACTTTACTCCGGAGCCCGGTAAGTGAAGCAAACAGCACACAGTGCTCCATCTGCTCTCACTTTTCACAAATGCACTCCGCTGCACTCTATTTAAATTGAATAATTAAATAAAATTAAAATGTTAACTTTAAAGTTACATACAAAGGAGTGGACTGGCATGCTGTTAGCTTGGTTTTAGTACAGCATTCTAGACATTTAAAAAAATAGCCCTTGACCTCAAAATGTTAAAGATTTTAGAGGGTTTTGTCATGCGGCATTTCAGTGTCACGAATGTGACACTTTCTTGAGCAGTCACTGGGTTATATGTGCCATCTGCCATTTGGTGTTTATGACCTTGCTTTTGGCTGCTTTGAGCTTGTTTGCTGGGGACTGTAGTTTGATGCAGCTACCAGGTTTTTGTGCTTCTGCATAGAGCTGCAGGTCTGGCAAAATACCTTATTTGAATATTAACATGGAATCAAATGACTGAAGAGAGAGATGAGGAAGCAAGGAGGAAGGATGCAAAACAAACAAACACAGTTAGAACATGTTTGGCTGCTTTTCTGATGATGTTTGAATCTGACAGACATCCCTGCTGCTTTAAAATGATGTTTTTTTTATTTGTTATTAATTTCAAATTGAAACATTTTATGGGTGGAGCTGTACAGGTCCATCTGACCAAAAACCTGGTGTTTGGGACCATCTACCAGCAGGTGCCTGTGTCCAAATTTTATTGCAGACAGTCATGCATAGCACTTTAAACGTACATATTTTTTAGGCAGGATACAGAGACAATTTTACATGCCACAAACAATTTACAATATAAAATGAATGCCATGTTTGTGGAAAAGACCTACCCATGTGTGAATGTACGTGATTTGACTGCTTTGAACCAAAGATGACATGCACAGAGGTTAAAAAAATGCAAAGTCCTTCAGTGATAATGGCACCACTATGTTTTTTAAAATTGATATGCAAGATATTAACACCATTAGAGATCAACATTTCATGACAAACCAAAACAGAATATATCACACATTTTTTGCTGTTGATTTGCTCTTTGGGCAAAAGAAAAATAGTGCATACATTTACATGCTAAACTTTGCACATACTAAATTTTTTATGCTGCAGCTACTATGAGGAATGCTGATCAGAAGCGTGAATGTTACCAACAGAGGGCAGCATTGCATAAGATTGATGTCAGGGATGTGACAGATGCCAGGAGGGAGAGCAGTGACATGCAGGACTTAACACACATAGTGCATCACAACTAAAACTGCAATTAATAAAGATAACTTTAAATTGAATTAGTAGTTGTTGCTTATGATGTTCAGGGGTTCCCAAGCTTGATTCATTTGTACTCAAAGTAGTTTATTTATGTTTCGCAAGATTTACATTTATCTGTCAAAGGGCTCAACCCTGTGAGATCATCTGCTAACTATACATAGTGGAAATAGCTTTGCATCATTAGCTCCTGTAAGCAGTGAGTGACAGGGCACTGTCAAGTTGTGGAAGAAGGGGAAAATTGTTTTTAACAGACTAGCACGGCTCCTGCACCAAAATTAACCATTTAGCTAGGTTAGTCTAAGCTAACAGCTAACAACTGACATTGTTCAAAGCACTGGGGATGTATGTTATTCCTCAAAATATCTCTTCTTACACTTTTATTTTGTGTTTGAATTGGCAAATCACCCTTTTAACTGTTCTCATAGTAACAATACAAAGTTGTTTTAGTTATGTAGTTATAGCCCTGAAAAACAATCAAATTGTGTTTTTGTCAGATCTGTCAGTGAATTTGCAAGAATATATTTTAGTGTAGTATAATGATTGCTAATTCCAAATTCAAGGTGAGTAAATGGAAGAGAGTCTGATTACCAGTAAAGAAAAAGCCAGGGCCCCAGTACTCCAGAAGTCTCGAAAGCTTCAGGCTTCCAGTGGGTCAAATAGGTTGTGTTAATTAAAATGGAGAGTTGTTTGGGAATATGCAACACCACAGCCCAAAATTGAATAACATTCAATGAGTTTCAAGGATGGTCTTGAATGGGACCATTTAGTGCTTACATGTTGCATATTCCTAAATTAATGACACACTGCGTATCATGGCCTGAAAAGACATTAGGGCATTAGCCCAATTGCTTGTTTATGGTGGACATAGCGTGACAGTGCAAATTAAATAAAAAATAAAATTGAGATTTAAATTAAGTTTGTGCTGTATGTAGAGGCTGAGTTGTAGCTTAAATACATTGCAAGTGAAATGGGCTCCAAAGGAGGGCTGTAGCTAACAGTTATTTTCATTGTCAATCAATTGTGTTGATTTTTTTCTAGATTAATCAATTTGTTGAAGTCAGAAAATGGTGAAAAATGTTGATCAGTGTTTCTCAAAGTCCAACATGATGTCCTCAAATGTCTTGTTTTGTCCACAACCCAAAGATACTCAATTTACTGTCAAAAAGCTGTTAAGAAACCAGATATTCACATTTAAGGACCTGGAATCAGAGAATTTTGACTTCGTTTGTTTGTTTTAAAATTACTCAAACTGATTAATCAATTTCCAGAAATAACTTGGCGATTAATTTGATAGTTGACAACCAATCCATTAACTGTAGCAGCTCTACTCCAAAGTCTTTTATACATTTTATAACTCATGGCCTTGACATGCCATCATGAACGACTTATGTGCACTAATGAACATTATGAATGAAGTGTGAATGCTGAAATGAATGAGCCTCTGTGTACTTGCATTGTGCTTTATATAACTCATAAACTATACATGTCATCGCAGTGCACGTTCATACAGTTTATTGGTGTGCAACAGTTAGCATCTTGAATTATGAGGGAAATTTGAGCTGTATAAAGGTGTACCACATAATAGATGCCATATATTAATTTTAGGTTTGCGTATGAACTTTGTCAACTAAGTATTCGAACTGATGATGTTTATTGCTATCAGATATGTAAACAGCATTTTCACCAATGTTTTTTTCATCTGAGGTGCACTGTTCAAATGTCACTTTGCACTTAAACCACTAGATGTTGCCGCAACACACTGAGTCTGTGATTTGACAGCTCACAGTGAAACTGAGGTAAAATATTTGATGTATGGGTACTTGTCTGGCCTGAGAAGGTAGTTATTCATATCTGGCAGGATGTGGTCATAAGTTCAAGTCAAATCTGGCTGCTGCTGGTTGATGAATGTTCATCTCACACTGTTCAGTTTGCCACTGAGATGTTTGGTTCCCTCACAGGCGAAAGTCAGGACAGTTGTACACTAACGTAGGCTAGTTGTTGCACAAATCATTTCTGTCAATGGCTCTTGTTCCACTTGTCCTTCCTCTTCCTCATCTGTTCCTCAAACGCACACATCACTATTCTTCTGGTCTCATTTTGCTTGCCATCCTTCCTCATTGTGTCTACGCTTATTTCAGGCTCCAGTGGAAGGGCTGTAGCATAATGATGTGGCTCCACTATTGTCCTCTAAAAATGAAATGCAGTCTCTATTTATGGAGAGAGTTTATTTAAAGTATGATACTGGAGACACAGTGTAAATATATCATGTGCTTATGTGCAGCTTGTACCTCTGCATTCTTTCAGACACTTGAGCCATGAAGTTACAGGGCAGCTTTGTCGGTAAAATATTGTTTTTGGATGTTAAGCCTGACATGGAGTCTAAACATAACTGTGTCGTTAGTCATATTTGTGCAGAGACAGGCAGAATTTGAGTTGTTGTGTTGACTCAGAAAAGGCCAGAGTTGTTTTCCTTCTAGTTTTAGGGACTTTGTTTTCTCAAAAATGCCTTTGGGTTCCTCCCACTGTGTTTGAAATCGGAGCTCCTTTGAGATTGTGTTTGGATTTTGGTGGAGCGTCAGACTTCTTGGCAGGACCTCTTGTGGCTGTAGCTATGGTGGTGATGGCAAAATGGGTTGGTCTTTTATCTGGAGACACACACAGTCTGCCTCATACTGATGTTTATTGATGCCATTTTTAGACTAGAAAACATGCATAACGCTGTCATCTGTGAGGACGACTGGTTTGTTTTTAAAGGAGTGGAAAAGGTAATGGTGCTCAGTTAAGTTTTTTTTTAGCGTGTTTGTAAAAAGAAAACTGGCAAAGAATTGTTATGATTTTATGTTAGGGATGGTAATAGGAGCCCTGTCTTATGTAACCCACTTATCCCTGGCTACCATGAGTCTTCACTGCTCACCACTTATTCAGTGAGCCATTCAGAATAAACAGAGAATCCATGGAAACAAAGAGTTTAATGCTCTTTCCACTTGCAAACATTAATTTATTGTGGAAAAAAATAAGCTTGATAGATGAAGAAAACACTCCCCTATCATGCCTTCCTAATTCTCATGTGTTTCTCATGTGTTGTAGCTCTGTCTGTTGATGAAATATTGCCTAAGTGTTGTCCAGTGGACAAGGATTGCAGCTCATAATGTGTGAAAAGACAGTAATCTTCTGCTCTAATAAGCCTGATGTACTGAGGGTCTCCACTGTGGCTTCGTGACTTAAAAAACTGGAGAGCCTAGTGCTTTTTTGAGCTAACCTTTTATGGACAAGAAACCAATACTGACCCTAGAATAAAGGCACAAATTGATCCTCTTGCTCCAGTGATATTCTCTTTGGACTACTTGTATATTATCAATGCAAGCAGGTATCCCCCTCACCCTCACCCCAGCCTCAAGCTCCACCAGACCCAGACAGTAAATAAGTGGGCAGAGGACAAACTCCACCCTTTCTGGTCCAGTGTGGAAACTCTGAGCCTGACTGAGGCACGTGTGTCTCTGCTCCTCCATCGGAATTTGGGAGGAGTTTAGCTGCTGCGTTGCCAAACCAAACCTTGGAGGAGTTACTGGAGGGGGAGTACAGTATTAGAAAACAATACACATAGGATGCACAGGCATGTTAAATGACAAGACTCCCAAAATAAAAACATCAAATCTACCAAAGAACAGAAGCGGTGTCTGCTTTGAGGCTCTGATATGTGTTTCATTTGGCTTTGAAAACTCACATATTAAAATTCTAATTGTTAATAATAAGTTTACATTTCAAAACAAAGTTATAAAGTGCTATACATGGACAAATCAAGACAAAACAATTCAGCCCTATAAGCACACAACTTAAAGTACAGAAAAAGAATGAAATACATAGTCAAATAATAAAAGTGTGAAATAAACAAATAGAACAAATAAAACATTTTAGAAGTAATGTGACAAATTGATGACATTTATAAAATTGTTTTTGTGTTTGATTATTAAGATGAGTTTTAAGAAGTTATTCATAATGTTACTGATTCTCCAAGATGTAGATCCACAGACAGGAAGTTCCACAGCTGAGTGGCCCTGAACTCAAAAGCCCTGTCACCTTTAGTTTTGAGCCAGCAGAGAGCTGCCTGAGAATCCGAGGTTGCACTCTGGCTTATAGGGGAGCAGCAATTCAGCAATATAACTAGGATAAAACTGTAGACAGAGCGCCAAGAGTATTCTGTAGAGAGGGTGAGGACCTTGGAGGACCAGCTGGAGGAAGTCTGGAGACATCCAGTTTTGATTTCTGATGCACAAGACATTAGATTATATCATTGGCCTTCACTGGTTTGGGGTAAAGATCTGAGTTTTACCCATATTACAACAATGGAGAATGAATGTTGTGTTTGTGGATAACATGTACTACTGGGAGCAAGTATATAGAACAACGGGGGGCCAGGGATGGAGCCCTGGGGAACACCACTGGTCAGAGGTGTCACTAAAAAGGGAGTTCCCACCATGTGTGATTGTACACTTGAGGCTGGCCCATTTATCATGGTGATAAAACAAAATCGCACCATCAACTGTATTAAATGGAGAGCTGTAATCAAGTAAAATTTAAATAGCATAATCACCAGCATCAGCTGTTAGTAATAGATTGAGTCTAGACTAGAGTCTTTTTCCAGAAGCTGTTTATCTTTTCTATGTCAGTGGTCTCTTGGTCTACATGGAAAGCCGTTGTTGATATTAGTGAATGGCGTTGGCTTTTTTTAAGCAGCATTAGTTATTTTAGAAAACAATCTCTTGTACTGTTGAGGTATTTCAGACACACGTCATGGGTTATGTCATGCTTTCTTTTCCCTGACGACATTGAACAATACCGGTGTCACATACAACAATAGGTTTTAATCATCCTTTAATTAGTGCATTTAGGGTTGTAGTTCCCTGTCTGTTCAGTTGTCTGAACTGATAGCGCAGACAAATTGAAGCCAGCCAGGTAGGTATCCTGGGGCTATCACACAGAACAGGTTCCCCTGGTCATGCATGCCTGCCACTGGATGGGAGAAACAGTTAACTGTTTAGCAGCCCGGGGAGCAAAGGAGGCTTAAAAATCCAGCCCCACATTCCTAACTTCTCTCTAGGCTATAAAATGTGGAGCCCTAACAGTCCAGCTCCTCCTCCACCTTCTGTGTTTGTTTTCTGACTCCCTCCTTTTGCTTCAGAGTGGAAGAGCGGCCTGACAGGATCATACCATTCTCCAACCACAGGGGAACTCATGTAATTGAGTAACTAGAAGCAGCATTCTTTTTAAGAGCTTTGAGCTTCCTGCCTCCCCCGCCTGTGTTTTTGTGAGTGGACTGTCTCGAGGTGGAGGGGAGTTTGGGAGGGGGTGCTCAGCAGAGGAGAGAGTGAGAACAGCATTTTGAAACCCAGCTGATCAGAGCAGTGGTATTCTGCCACAGAGGCAGGGGGAGAGGGAGCGTGACTGGAAAAAAGAATAGAGAATATAAAAGAAAGCAGCTGCAGTCTTTGTGATTCTAAGACGGAGAATTTACAAACAGAAGAGTGGAAAAGAAATGTCTCTGTCCTTTCATGGGAACCTGGGAAGTCGTGTGAAGAGAGAGGCTCTGTGGAAAGATGTGAGAGCTGTTGGCAGGGTGGAAATCTGAGGAAGAAACACACAGAAAAGGATCAGCGAGGCTCTGGAAACCAGTCCAGTGAGTCTTTGAGTTGAAAGAAGCCTCGTGGAAAGAGGAGTGATGTCTTGGCTGTCACCCGTGTCATGGGCCAAATGGACGTGGACGGCAGTGCGAGGGGGAGAGGAGGATGAAGAGGGGCAGGAGGCCAATGAGGAGAGGGAGCAACATGGAGAGAGAGGAGAGGAGGAGGAGGAGGAGAGATCTCAAGGCTGCAGGCAAGTGTTGTGCTGTAGCCCTGAGACTTCTGAATCTGTGATTCACACTGTCTGGACTGGAGGAGGGGGCATTTTCACATATGTGTTCATGTGTGTGTCCACCTGTCAGGTTGAGGAATCTAATATTATGAAAGTTAGATGGAAACCCTGATGTCTTATCTCCATTTTTTATATGCAGAAATGTCAGATGTGTCATGTTGTCGCGCAGTGGTGACACATTTCTGGTGTGTCTGTGGTTTGGGTTGCACAGTGAATGTTTTTCTCAGCCTAACTGACACTGCATCCTCCTTTCTGTGGCCTCACAGCAATAACACACACTGCACCTAGTTTAATGATGTAATCATTGCTCACAAACATGACACATGTTCGAGACGTTAGGGCCTTATTGTCTCTCTTTGCTCCTCGTGTCTGCTTTGATGACCACATTATCTTGGCCATTGTTCCAAGTAAAGATTCACAACTACTTCTTTGAGCAGATAATGTATCACTGCCCTAACACGAGGCCTAAAGCCATGTTTGTTCACTATCACAGCAGTTATCTAACCAGAGTCTTATTAATGTCTAACCAGACTGTGATGTGGCTTCTTGATGTGATCAGATCACATTTAAATGTTGTTTTTAGTTGTAGTATTCACATCTTATTTTAAAATACCCATGTAGTTTGCGTGGTGTAGTCTAGTACCTCGTTCTGTGTAGTGCTGAAGATGTGACAGGAAAGAGTGGGTTGCCCTATTTCCTCTTTTCCTCTATCTTTTACTTAATCTTTCTCTTACTCTCAGTTACTGCCATGAATCAAATGATGAGTGCAGACACTGCTGAGCGCTGCCAAAGCATAACATCAGAGGAGAAAGTGTAATATAGATGGATTTTAGGAAAGTAGAGACCGGTAAAGGTGTATCAAAGTTGTCTTTGTGCATGATACATAATAATAGAAGTATCAACATGTGTATATGATTATATTCAGTACACTACAGGTTTATATCCAAAACAGCGCTGGCACTTTTGTAGTATCATCCATGCTATTGTCTGATCTTTGCTTTTTTTATTCCAAAGAAAAACATAGTTGTACCCCTTAAGGCCTCAAAAAAAGTATTCAAATAAGTCATTAGAAGGGAAAATCACTCTTAAGTTGAAGTATCATGATGAAGGGTCATGTGACAGGATGGAGAGGATAGAAAGCGAAAATTGCTTTTGTTCTTGCACATATTGCACATTTTAATGCAGTTCTGTTTACGCAAGTCTTCTTTCACAGTGCTGAGTCAGCCTTTTGCTTCTGAGTGTACACAGCTTCAGTATTTATAACTCGATCATTACTCCTCAGTTACATAAGGATAATTCTGTCCTCCTGTTTTCTCATGTTTTGAATGTTTGGAAAGTTCATGCTCTCTCCCTGTCCCTCTCTTGCTTCCACAGCTCCGACTCAGAGGGTCATTTCGACACTCCTGAGGCAGCAACTCCTGTCCGCGCCCCTCCGACCTTCCCAGGAGAGCTGGAGAACAACAACACTGATGCAGACAAAACAGGTAAGGCCACTGCTGAGTAAATAACACAGAGGGAGAGAAACAGAAGCAGAGTCGGCATACATGCTGGTCAAGACGTAAACACACTGCAGTAACACCTCGGGGTGGCTGAAGGTTCTCATTAACATTACAAATACAGGAAAGATCACAGGAGTTTCAAGTACACAGCAAATAAAGAAAGAGTGTCCCTCCTTAAAGTTGCCATGGAAACAAGAGTCTTTTGATGTTGCTCGAAATGTTCAGACATCACGTGTGTGTGCATGTGTTTGTCTTGGACCAGCATAAGAAAAATGTTTCCAAAATGCATCAGCTAACTAAGTCATCTTTATATGATAAGCACATCTGGGCAAATATGAACTCCACTACTGTGTCTGAATTGTGTGCATGGTGTATTAGGTTCACCGCGCCAGAGTAATTGGATACATATGCAGTCTGACTGTTTCAGGAATGTACCAACCTACTGCATTTTAGCTTTAAATTGTACTTCACCTGCCTTTTTTAACTATAAGCACCATGCAGCAAATGTGTTGAATCACAGCAGTTTGTTACAGGTACCTAAGGTAACTAACACCTCAGCAGTGAAACATGTCCTGCATGCTTGGTATGTAAGCTGGTATGTACACTGAGTTTTGGGTGGGTTTTGAGTGTGATGATGGTACTGTCGCTGTCATATGAATCACTGAGAGGAGGAGCCTATAGCAGAGTGTGGGAATGGCCTTTGCTCTGGAATTCAACAGGTTCAACAAAAGCTTTGAGTCGCCCCGTTTTGTATTGGTAACTGATAGAGGTCACAATGAGGGGAGTGACTAAACAAAGCTTGTTATTAGGCTGAAACCATCACACAGCTGGCTTTTTAAGGAGGTTTTTAGGAGACCATGTGTTTATGGGGGGCTGTTGCTGTTTTGGTTGGAATATATCCTTCCTGTAAAACAGCTCCGACAACATCTCCCAAAGTGTACGTTGTGAAGGTCAACCAGTATCGAGCGAGGAGGGAGTTCACTTTTGTGTCAACCACAAACATCCCTCCCTGCAGCTGTGTATGAGGAAGTTTGAATCCTGGCAGGCAGGAGTTGAAGTGCCTCTAGAAACCTCTTTGAATATAAACATGCTCATAGCTGTGTTTGTCCGTGCCCATCCAAAGCCTCCATTACTTCATTAGTGTCACTCTGTACATGAGGATAGTTTATAAATATTTAACAGACAACTGAAGAGCCAAAAAGGCAGCTAACAGTAAAGGGATCGTATGTGACAATCAGAGCATATCTATGGTTCACAGTCTGAGCAGAGATTGTCTGCTCACAGCTCTCAGTATGGAGGTGGCTTAACTGGTAGCTAGCAGCTAATGGTGCTTACTCAGTCAATAGTGTTAACAACGGCAACAGTGCTGAGAGAGCTAATGGTGTTGATGTGGGGTGAAACGAGAGAGTGGGTGTTATGCCTCTGCCACGACTCTGTTCAACCTCTGGAGGTCGGGATGGTGTTATCATTGATTAGCTAGCCAGTAGGATACACACACAAAGACTTCCATGCACTAACATGCACGCTCAGCTGGACAGGCTACCGCAACAACGGACAGAGAAGCTCGGACAAGAACACACACAGGAAAAGCGTACTTCCATTTTCTGCTCAGGATGCCATTATTCGACTATATCTTTACATTGCAAGTAGTGGTTTACTGCTATATTCATGTTCTGAATGTTCCATACAGCTCCTTTAGCTTGCTTACATTAACAGATGGATACATGAGGGTTGCTTTGTATTTCTCCTGGATGGATCTATCCATCGATCAGTCCATCCAATTCATGATAAACTGACATTCGACTTGAGTTATAATACATGTGCAATTCATTATCAAACTATCTGCAATGTTTTGGTTTTTCAAAACAATGAAAAAACTGCCTGAAATTCAGGATAGCCCCTAAAATAATAATAATATATAGAAAATATAGGTGTGTTTGATTTAAACCAGCTACTATGCACAGGTATTTTTTTTACTCATACTAAAACAATGAAGTGTATCGTTAAAAACTGGTAAACAAATGCAAAAGAATTCATTTTACTATTCAAATTAGACCATGTTTTGCGTATTATTGCAATCAGGCACTGCAGCTGAGTGAGATTCATCCCTGCTGCGACACGTTCTGCCTTTATAAACACAAGAGTGAGAGAACAAAAAGGGATTCTTATACCTTTCTACTGAATATGCATGTTGATACTGATGTCTGTACGAGCATGTTGGATTGCAGGAGCACTTTGAAAATGGCACTCTGGCGACATGCTAGTGGAAGTAGGTAGAAACACAGCAGGCTGTGCTAGTATCCTAGCAACATAATATTACATGAATATGGCGAGCATGACAGGCACACTGAAACATGTTGATGTGTCAAAATCTCCCCCCGGAGACAATAATTACTCCTCAACAGCCGCTGTCCCCGTTGTCCGCTACATGAAATCAATCATATAGCTCTTATTTCTTTTTTCTTTTCTTCTGATGCACTGCTTGGTTATAAATGTCATGGCCCTCATAGTAAGGCATTGCCATGGCAACAGCAGCAATTGGAGCAGTTGGCTGGCTAGGAACCAATCAGATGTCACCTACATCTGAGTTCAGATTTGATTGGAGAGATAGGGAATCATAAAAAGATGTGTGCATGTGGTTTTATTTCTGTAGTTTGAATATGTTTTATGGTTAATTCTGGTGTTTTCTTCTTCTTCAGATGTGGATCAGGAGGAGCAGCTGATAGTGACTGCACCTGTTTGGGATCAGGATATTTTACTCCGCCACAACATGGGTCAGGATGAGCCTGCGGCCGCCGTGGGTGGCCCGTTGGAAGTAAACATCCAGACCCTGGAAGCAGAACAAACAGAGAATCATACAGAAGCCTTGAACTCTGTGCCTGTCCCTGCTTCATCCTCAGTGAGGGAAGCGCCTGAAGAAGTTGAATGCACAGCAACACCTTCTGAGCCACCCCAAGCCCCAGTCCCCGTCCTAGTTTCAGATCCTGTCCCGGAGTTGGCCTCAGACACAGCCCCTGCTTCTGCTCCTGCTCCAGCTCCAACTCCAGCTCCTCCCCCTGATCCTGCTGAAACTTCTGCTCCTGTTGAAGCTTCTGTTCCTGTTGAGGCTTTTGCTCCTGCTGAAGCTTCTGATCCTACTCCTGCTCCAGTTTCAGCTCCTGCTCCACAACCAGACTCAGTTCATATCAGTGAACCTGCAGTCAGCCCAGTTCCAGAGCCCCCTGAGCAGAAACCAGAACCACAGTGCAATGGCCTCAACCAGACAAAGCCTCCTCAAAACACTAAAACCAGCAAGTCTAAGCCTCCACCCCTAAAGGTGGAAGCCTCGCTGAATGAGCTTGCCCAAACAAATGAGGAACAAGAACTTCCTGTACCCAAGGCCACTTACAATTTTGACCCTGATCAGCTGGATGACAGCTTTAACCCCTTCATGAGCGGTGGATCCAAAATCCAGAACTCTCCCCCACCATTTGGGGCAAGCTCTCTCCCCAGACTTGAGCCACTTGGTAGCTCCATGCCCATGTGTGAGGCCAGTTCAGCAGCTCCAGCAGAAGCAGAGGTGATGGAGCCATTGTCAGAGGCGAAGCCTGTGATGCTGGAGTTCAGTCTGGACGAGGGGACAGTCAGCAAGCCACCCCCAAGGAAATTAGGTGGTAAAAAGACAACTAGCAAACTTGCAGCGAAGAAGCAAAAGGCCAAAGGATCAGCGGCTTCCTGCAAACCAGCACCAGAACCCACAGTGTCAGAAACGGATTCTCAACCAGCATCAGAACCAGTTTCAGATCCTCTTCCAGAAACTGCTTTGCCAGTCACAGACTCTACTGCACCTCTGAACATTGACGATATTCCTATTCCTAAGTCGGGAACATATAACTTTGATCCCAATCAGTGGGACGACCCGAACTTCAATCCGTTTGGTAGCAATAGCAAGGTGAGCAGCTCTCCAGTGCTCCCTAAGGGCTCCTACAGTTTTGATCCAGACAGTTTCGATGACTCTGTGGACCCTTTTAAACCTTCCAAAACCTTGGGCATGGAGGACTCACCCAGTAGTGCCCCTAGTAGTGCCCCTCAGCCGGAGAAAAAAGTAAAAGACGGAGGCAAACAGAAAGCAGGGCTGCCAGCTGGGGAGAAGAAAGTGAGGCAGATCCCCAAGAAGAGCAAAGAAAGGACAATCACGTAAGTCTACTGTCTTCCTTGCCTCAGGAGTTTGCAATTTTGAGGTTTTAACATTATCACCAACAACACAAATTCAGATTTCAGTTTATTTAATTTATACTTTCACCCCACTGAGCTTGCTCTGTATTTGGCAGGATGTGTTAGCATTTACATCCTCTTGTGGTTGGATACCCACCAAACAAAGCTTTGAACACATGGCAAACACTTATCACTGCATACTGGCCATTGATGCAATTCCCACAGGTTATATATAGGCTGTTAAAAGTGCTTATAGCAGCAGGGGTTTGGACTAATTTCAGCTTCTCCAGGTCTGTCGGCATCTCGTGTTTATGCACAACCTTTAAACGATCTAACATGCTGAGCTGAGCACCTTCAGTCACTCACACGCTCTCCTTTGTCTCCTCCTCCCTGATCTGTTCTCCATTCCCTTAATCAATTTCTCCTTCATCCTTCATCCTTCCTTCCTCTTGTCTGTTACGCAACCCCTCTCCAACCTCTGCTTTCGTCCACTTCTATTAGCTCCAGGACATCTGAACAGGCCAAGTTTCTCTGTTTTCTGTTGTAAGTACTCCCACTCTCGACGCTCTCTTTCTTTCGTGCATGCCGGCTTCCCATTTTACTCTCATTGTGGCATGTGCTGTGCCAGAACTGACTGTTGACGGAGCATGTGAAGGTTTCACCTCAACTCACAAGGCCATACATCATCAAGTTAATTTGTCCCATCTTGTGATCCCTTCAGAAGTTGAGCAGCCCTAGATTTATTGTACTAACTATACTAGCTATAGTATGTAGCTGTATTGTGGGCCAATGCAATCAGCTCAAAGGGCATAGAAATGTTTGCATCTCTGTGGTTGTACGAACAGGAGGAAGATAAGTTAAACTTTTTAAGGATCTCTACTTTTGGGTCTGTGTATTCTGACACGTGTGTTGTCATCATGTGCTTGTTTTGTAGGAATTCCTGTAAAGTTCAGAAATATGATGAGAGCCAGTCCCTGGTGCTCGACGTGTGCAATCAGGTAATGTGTGTTTTGTCAGCTGAAATGGTTCACCTTACTGCAGTGACAGTGCAGCGTCCATTATTCAGCAGCTGTCTCACCTCTCAGCCTCTCCTCTTCACACACACACACACACACACACACACACACACACACACACACACTCATGCATGCACACAAAAACACTTTGACACAGGCTGACAGGAGCATCAGCAGAGGCTCCAGCTCTGCAGTGCTGGCTTGGCATGGTGACAGAACTGTGACTTATCACTCTGCAGTCAAATATTAGACTGCTGCTCCCATGTGCCCTCAATATATCACCTCCTCTGTCCTCAGGAGATCTCCTCAAGACATTGTTTACTGCCTAACAGTCTCTGCGATAACTTATTGTACTAAAGTTTGTCAAAGCCCATGAAACGGAATTGGATTTTTGTGACTGTGATGAGTCAGTGTTTCTCAGACTTTTTTTTTAGTAATATTCCCCCTTTGAATTTTTTTCCAGCCAAGTTACCCCAGACCGCTGCAAAACATTTTTGATTGAAACACACACACAGGGAGCAAACATTTCTTTTAGCAGTCCACATGGTACATATACACTTTCCTATGTAAAAAAAAAAGTTTTTACTAAAACAGCTAAATGATTGTTTTCTTACTGTAAGGAGTTCTATATTATATTTCTGATTAATTCTACTTCATATTTGATATTTAAGTATGAAATGAAATGTCAGTACAATGTGGATTCTGTCTTCCTCCCTTGTCTCCAGGAGGAGGACGAGGTGGTGGCTCAGACCCCAGAGATCACTCAGCGAGTTCATCACGCCACTGATGAGGAGAAGCTCGCCTCCACCGGCATCATGGGCCAGACAACAGACAGCCAGGAGGACAAAGGAGAGCCTGAATGCATCAAAGCACCTGTGAAGAAACAGCCAGTCAATGACGTATCTGTCATGGAAGGTATGTTTGGATCCTCTGCTGTGTGAAGAATTTAAAGCAGTGTTTGAAGTTAAAACAAACAATAACATATAGTAAGACATTTTGGCTCCACAGATAGAGACAGTTGTAAGGTAATTACTCAGTCATGCTACTCATATGCTTCCATATGATGAAAGTGGTATACATCAACTGAAAGCTGGGAACTTGGAAATTTACTTGTGATGTATTTAGATTAATAGTAATCATTAATAGTATTTTATAAGGCATATAAAAAGTGTATGCATCAGGCATGGTGTTAAAACAGGAGGTTTGCCTAGCAGAAAGGTGCCAGTTCCAACACCAGGGTGAATTGGAAAACATGAACAAAGAGAGCGGGTCAGTTATGTAATTTTCCAACTACTGTTGGAGTACTGGACTCTGCAGAGCTCTGAGAATGTGTCAGGCTGTATGAAGGAAAAAAATGGAGCATGCATGCTCAGCAAAACCCTGTCCTGGATATAAGAAAGTTGAAAATGCTACACTAGGGAACAAATGCTTCCCACAGTGGTGCATTAAAACAAGTCTGTGTCAGTGGTGCAAGTATCGCACCATGATTTCATCACAGAAGCAATTCTTAAACATTCTTAAAGCTTAACTTGAGGTAAATGAGACATTGAACGCAGGAAGGCTACTGTGTGGATTATTTTTTTAAACTTAGATATAATTAGGGAATTACTGCAATCAACATTTGTCATTGAATCATTTTGTTTCTTTCTCCTCAAAGGTCCTGAGACTAAGATTGCAGATCACCTGGAGGAGAAGGATACCTGCAGTCTGAAAGAAGATATTGTAAGTAGACTATAGAACCACAGGGAGTGTGCAGTATGAATATTTAAACATGACTGGCTTGTTTTGCACCAACTGCTCTTTATCTCAATTGGGAAGAGCCATAATTAGAGTCCTACTTTATTAATTTCATACTGGGAATTTGTAGATTTCTTATGCCATAGTATCTATTTTTGCTACAGTACTTAGATTGTTTTTAATCACACAGTATTTGTTTAAGATAACCAAACTTGCACCTTGAGGAATACAAATGTTTGCTTAATTAAATCAACACACATGTGAATAGTTTTCCCAGAGCACACCTTGAAAAGACATCATGTGATCTGACATGCCATATGGGATCTTCTTGGAAAATGTTCGACAGTCGTCGAAACTCCAGCGATATTTGTAGTATTTAGAACAACTTAATTACAAGACCAACGTGTTGCGATGTATTTATCTCGCTTCTCCCGCCACCTTGAAAGTAAGTGAAGGTGCTCCACAACCCTCACCCTGTTCTTGTCAGATAGACAGTATGTTTTCCTCATGTTCCACAGAGCGAGATATCCATGACCCCAACAACAAAGATGACCAGCAGTGAGGTCACAGACACAGCAGCCCTGTCCCAGGACAACATACCTCTGAGTGAGATGGACAAGGCTGCAGTGCTCACTCTGATCAGAGAAGAGGTACGTCACTGCCACACACTCAGAAACACAGTGCTCCTTTTTATAAAGTGAACCTGCTAATGATTAATGTCTTGGATCTGAACATTTTTCTGTTAATGCCCTGCCTTCCAATCAGATCATCACTAAAGAGATCGAGGTCAATGAGTGGAAGAGAAAGTATGAAGAGAGCAGAGCCGAGGTTGTGGAGATGAGGTATGAAGCGTCACGGTTTCTCTAGAACTTCGCCTCACATTTAAAAAAAAAATTATGGTGCAAAAAATAATAATGATACTAATTTAGAGTACCAACACTGACAAATGATGTGCTTTCTATATTTTATCTTGACAGGAAAATAGTTGCAGAGTATGAGAAAACAGTTGCACAGATGATTGGTAAGTTGCTGCCACCTGGTGGTGGTTAATAGTACACAGTAAGTAGCATGTGTTTTTCACGATTGCTCCCCCAGGATTATGACACTTTCAGGAGTCATTAAATTATAAAGGGACACTTCACCCCAAAATCTAAAATACATATTTCTCCTCTTACCTAATGATATTTTTCAGTCTAGATTGTTTTGGTGTGAGTTGCTAAGTGTTGGATACACCAGCTGTAGAGATGTCTGTCTTCCCTCGAATATAATGGAACTAGGTGGCACTAGTGGTGCTCAAAGCATCAAAGAAATATATTTGAAAAACTTAACAGCAGTGTCTCTTTGCAGAAATCTTGACCTAGTTACACAACATAATCCACAGACCTTGTTGTGAGCAGTTTCATAAGGGAACTACTTTCTTTCTACAAAACTACACTTGTCAACTGTATCACCTCACAGATGGAAACTACATCTACTCATGGATGAGGGGCTCGTGCTTGCAAGAGCTTGAGATGTAAACATTAATGGTGTCTTCCTCCACTGTGCTGTAACAATAGCTAGTTCACTGGTGCTAGGTGATCTAGCAGTAGATGCACACTTCCTTATATGCTCCGATACAGTTGATGTGTGTCGAAAGAAATTAGTTCCTATGTGAAACTGCTCATACTATTAAATGGAGTAACTTTTCTAAAAAGAAACACTGCTGCTGAGATTTTCATATGTTTTTTTTTTTCCTTTGGCGCTTTAAACACCACAAGCAGGATGCCATCTAGTTCCGTTATACTTGACAGACGGTAGACATCTCTGCGGCCGATATTTCCAACACTGCAACTCACACCAAAACAATCTAGACTGAGAAATAGTACTACAGGTAAGAGGAAATATATATATTGATTCTAAGGCCAGCTGTCCCTTTAAGGATGCATTGCATTTAAAATGTATATAGTATTGTGCATTCAGACAGTACTGTGCATTTTTGTCATATTGGATTTAAAATGAAACCATGGCAATGAGGTTAAGGTGTTATCTGTTTTCTTTATACTGAGAGTGTTTACATTCTTTTCAGAGTGAGACTGTAGTAACTGTTATCAGCCTACAAATCCCAAACACTGGAAAACATAATACTGCTCTGATAGCTTATACTGCACTGTCATTTGATATAACATCTACACAGTGTGGAATTATGCACTGAAATGTTGTGATTCATCTGGTGATGTGCCCATATACGCTTCAAGGTTTCATTTGACAGTGCTGCTTCTGTTTGACTTAAAGATGTGATATACGTCTTGCCCTCACCTCCTTAATATCTTACCTTTGTGGGTTGCAGAGGACGAGCAGCAGCAGAAGTCCTTGTCCTGCACCAAGTCAGTCAGGCAGTTGACCATGGAGAGGGATCAGGCCATTGCTGACCTCAACTCTGTGGAGCGCTCCTTTGCTGACCTCTTCAGGAGGTATGAGAACATGAAGGGAGTCCTGGAGGGCTTCAAGAAGGTCAGTAGAGCTTCAGTATGAACCTTGTGAGATGCTGTCCAGCCCACTACCACACACCTAGATCACTAGATATTCTCTACATGTGTCTCTCCAGAATGAGGAGGTGCTGAAAAAGTGTGCGCAGGACTACCTGATGCGGATCAAGCAGGAGGAGCAACGATACCAGACCCTCAAGCTGCATGCCGAGGAGAAACTGGACAAGTAAGCTGCCATGACAGGTTTTAAATACTGGAAAAAGTTTGCATTTCAAGGGTAGACAACATTTTGACATTTTTGACCTTTCCTTCCTCTGTAACAGGGCTAATGAGGACATAGCCCAGGTACGTGCCAAGGCCAATGCTGAGAGTGTCGCACTGAGCGCCAGCCTGAGGAAGGAGCAGATGAAGGTGGAGTCACTTGAAAGAGCTGTCCTTCAAAAGGTAGGATGACGGCAAATATGATTAAGATTGATTCACAGTGTTATGCTGTGTGAGTGCAAGGCAGGGTATGCTGAAAAGACACTCTGGATAATTGAGGTTAAAACCCTTTCAGTGGGAGAGTTTTCAGTTTGTGTTATTCATGTCGGAAGTCTGGTAAAAGGTGCTAAAGAAAGTCTGTTTAAACATCTATGTAATATTATGGAATTAATACTTTAATCAAATAAGATCACAGCTGAGATCATTTGTAGGTCTTATGTCGCACCAGTGGTAAGATGACCTTAATGTCTCCTGCCCCTTCTCATTTTCTTTGTCAAGTCTGGTTTTCTCTTTAAGTTTAGTAAAAAAATATACATGTGTCTTCCCATCAGCTTTTTACCTGTTTAATCCCCCCAAAAATGTTTTGCTCTCCTTTCTTCTCTTGTGTTGAGCAATTTAGATTCAATACGTGTTTATAGAAAAATCCCACCCATGTGTCTTACAGTGATGAAATGCTGATTAATGATGTTGCGTTACAGTGATTTTATCAATGCTTTATTTACAGCAATCTGTAAAATCACTGTAAAGTACTTCATCGTGTGCAGGCATTCAGCACAGATTTTATAAATGCATGTCTGCCAACACACTGGTACACATCTAACACTAGGGAGCAGTGTTTCATTTCCTTAAACCAGAGCCTGGTGGGAAAAAGTAGGCACAGAACTCCAAGATCAATCCTTGAAAATAAACAAATAAATAAGAAATGAAAATTAAATAGAGAAACATAAGGTTTTTTTTTAATTATTACTCTTATTTTTTGCTATTTTGTTCTTATTTTCATTTTGTTGATGGGCATCGGCCCAAAAACAGTGTTGTCCTTTCCGACTCATTCTGTGATGAGTTAGTGACAGTAATTGAGGAGTACTCAGATCCTTTACTGAAATAAAAGTAGAAATGGCTGTGTTCAGAATCAAATACTAATGTACTGGTTACTGCATAATCATTCTGTTTATGTTGCATACGTCTACTAAATCAATGATTAAGTATGCCATTAGCAACAGACACTCCTGTATATACATGACAGTATCTCATGACTGATTGCTGGTCAGCAGCTCTCACATCTCCAAAGAAGTCACGTGCATTATTTGGATAAACTGACCACATATTGGGAATCTATATCACTACTTTATCATCCATCATCATCTAAAGTATTTAAACTTCTTCCTCTCTGTCTCTCCCAGAATCAAGAGATCGAGGAGCTCACGAAGATCTGCGATGAACTGATCGCCAAACTGGGAACAGAATAAGAGGCCTTTAATCAAACTATCACAGCAACATTGATGTAAATACTGTACATGATCACACTCAAGCACACGTCAACCGTTTCTTTCTCACAGCTCGTACGTTTTTGGAAAACTACAATTGAATCACAGAACGGTTGCTCTTTTCAGACGGAAATATGAAACCAGAGCAATAATAATTCATAGTGTTGATCATGTCATGGAAGTTGAAGAAGCACAACGTGATCACGAGGTGTGTTTTAACTATTTTGAAGGAGATTTATTGATCTTTGGTTAACCCTTAGAAACCCAGCATAGACCCATTTTTTGTCTATTTTAGAGGGGGACAAGTGATCTTTAGGGGGAGATAGCAGGTCAACAGTATATGATGAAAGTGGTATACATCATTAGAAAGCTAGGAACCTAAAGGCTGTGATTACCCTAGAGGTCACAAAACATCGTTTGAAAACTCACAATGAAATGGCTGCTATGGGGGCTAACATCACACATACCCAATTTATGCAATTCCAAGACTGTTTAGGTGTCCCGGTATGCAGAGATATTCATATACAACATTTTTAGAAAAGGCAAATATAACTCATTTATAATGCATGCAAAAAACTGCATGGTTTTTGCCTAAAGCTACACAGAATTAGCATAAAGTGGGCATGTCTGTAAAGGGGAGACTCGTGGGTACCCATAGAACCCATTTTTATTTGATATCTTGTGGTTTTTCTCACCAAATGTAGCCTAACATTGGAGCATTATTTAGCCTTATTCCCGGCAGGATAGCATGACGTGGTTGGTACAAATAGATGCCTCAGGTTGTCTGGTCTCACATGATAGCACTTTCATGCTAGCTTACAAAATGAGCACACCACAGCCTCTTTAAGACAGTAATATTGGTCGAGATCGCTGGTGGTCCTGCGGGTCACTTAGGGTTAAGGATTTACAATAAAGGCTTGTTTTATTGGTTAAAGATTCATCAGTTTTTAAGTGTTGATCCTCTTCTTTGAAATGTGTGTGCATTTATTCTATGACGAAGAATTTCCATTATTGTTTTATACAGCAAGTTTAACACAAAACTGTAGGAAATAACTTGGGAACCAAGGGAAAGACAATGTGGGCACACAGCACAGATCTTTAAGCACAGTGCATCTACGCTACAATTAACTGTGTTGATGATACAGTCTTCAGAAAGGACAAATCTCTCTATTGAGTGCCTAAACTGATCATAGTGTATTAGTTTTCTGCCCTGTAGATATTTCTTGCTGCCAATTCTTCTGTTCGATTGACATCTACTTTCATCAGCACATGAACTGTAAGTAATATTACTTAAGTTGCCTTTGGGTTTGCCTGTGTTTCACCCGGTTACATACACAGTGTGTGTTGAAGTCCTCACTTATGCAGTTTGAAGTTAAACCACAGAGTTTTGACATCATGTACATTTTGCCTACCGTAAATCTCTGGGATTGTTAAATATGAAAAGCACTTAAGAGAATCTTGAATCCTGTTCTGTAATATTTTATTCATCTGATAATATTTTGACGAGGATGGGTGGAAATCAAAGTTTTAGCTTGCTCTTATTATACTGTAATATTAAACCATGTTTAATTTTCTCGCTCTGCGTTTGAGTGCTGGAAAAGTCAGAAACACATTCTGTCGTTGCCATGTAGATATTTCAGGACTGTATTCATATTTTGTGTGTGAGCCCAAATGTTGCTGGTGTGCCTTTATTTTGTCTATTTTGTAAAAAAAAAAATCCCTTCATGCAGTTGTTTCCAAACTCTGTTGCCAAAGTGTACTGTACACAGGATGTATCTTTCCTTAACAACAGTGAGTTATAAAGGGTTTGCAGTTACGGTGAAGGTCTGTGTTTTGGTGAGGAGTGAGTTCATCATGTAATAACTTCATCGCTAACATCAGCATTTTCTGGTCCGATTGAACCCGAGGGAGCGCACAAGTGCATTTTTGGTGAGATGTGTTTCAGATATTATAAAGGACATGTTCTTCTGTGGAAGCCTTGTTTCACGTCAGCACAATCAAATGTCCTTGTATGTAAAACGACATGAGTTTCAGTGTGACTCTGTGTCCTGCTGTTGTGGCGTCATGTCAGTCTGAAGGTGCTTTTCGATGCAAATCCATTGTTACAGTACAACATGTGTAAATTTTATACTTTATGAAAATAATATTGTTGCTAATGTTTGTAAAATTGAAGAATTAAGTATACCCAGATGTATGTTAACGGCTATATTTTGTGCATTCCTGAATAAATGGTTAAGATTTAATATATTTCATCCTTTGCCTGATTCATTTAAGATGTGCACATAGCAAATAAGAAACACACGACATCTTTGTTGTTCCTGAGTGAGGAGCAGAAACAGAAGCAAACTCAGTCATTGTTGATCCCCACAGGGAAGCCAGGAGCCGAGTGTCATCACTGTTTTTATGCTCTCTCAGCCAATGTACGGTTGCTTTTTTACAAACATGTCATTAGTGGTCTTTTTGTTTGTGAGTCAACAGGCTGCAGTTTCCCCCAGCAGTTCGACTTGACAATACAACAATGTAGTCATAAATGTATGAAAGAAAAGAGTCACGTCAGGTCGTGACCTGATCTGACTGTTGTGTTCACGGTGCACAACAGTGGCGTGGTGCTGATTTTGTGACCAGCTGCCCAGTAATTAATCCTTGTAATTATCATCTCTGTGTCAAATTGAAATAAAAAATCATGTATAGGGTTTATTTTTTGTACTGTAAATTTAAAAAACCACAACTAAGTTACTTAAGGCACCAGCTGTGACCAGCAATAGACTTGCAGTTGTGTGTTTGGTCTGCTTCATCATCCCTCTGTTCTGTTACTTGACTACAAAGACAAACCTCCTTCCTGCTCGCCTGGGCTAAGCAGAACTGTGGATCACATTTTTGGCTGACAGAAGAAAAAAAAAACTTCGTCTTCTTCTGTTTATCATTTTTGTGCCTTTATTAGCTAGAGCAGGTTGAGTGTGAAAGGGGACAGAGAGGGGACAACATGCAATACAGGGCCACATGTTAGAATCAAACCCACGGCTGCTGCTGCAAGGACAGAGCCTTTGTATCTTCTGTAACATTGTTCATCTGTTTGTTGTGTTTGCAGTTAGCACAGTGTTGCATGATAGTGTTGCAGTCTAGCACAAAGCCAGAACCAGCCTGCCAAAGGGTCCAATCCCGGCCACTGCATGACTTTGCACATCTAATATTGATGCCCTTGTCAAGCTTAGAGGTGGCAGGTTTCAGGAGCTGCTCCAGACACTTTCTCACCCTGACCAGAATATAGTTCTGTGAAAAAAAAAACAATGGATTCTTATTGAGGTCATATTTTAAGATAGTTAACACTGTGCAAAATGTTATCGATCAGCAGCTTCAGTACAAAAGAATCTGTGTTGGACACTATTGGAGGAACCCTGAGGCACTGCAAAAATTTCAGATTTGTAAATGGTTTGTAAGGCAGGAGATGATTTAACTTAACCTGCATCCTCAATAGTTTCCACTGTAGAGTAGCGTGGTGACGCCAGTATTTACTACACAGGAGTGGAAATGTATGGCTAAATGTACATGTAATGACAGTGAGTAGTCGACAGACTGAATGTGGAAAAACTGAGACATATTGTTGATCTATCTTCAAAATGTACTTCCACTAAAAGAAGGGGAAACATATCTAGGTCTTGTTATTTATAGGTTATCGTGCAATGGTTTTACTGGTCCAACCTCCTTGAGATTAAAGTGGACTGTATGTCCGGCCGGCAGCTACGGCCCATGGTCAAGCCACTTTTAGACCACCTCCAGTTCGCCTATCAGCCCCGACTTGGAGTTGAGGATGCCATCATCTACCTGCTCAACCGTGTCTATGCCCATTTGGATAAGCTGGCGAGCACTGTGAAGGTCATGTTTTTTGACTTCTCTAGTGCGTTCAACACCATACGTCCAGCTCTACTGGGTGACAAGCTGACAGCAATGAAGGTGGATGCCCCCTTGGTGTCCTGGATTGTAGACTATTTGACTGGCAGACCACAGTATGTGCGCTTGCAACGCTGAGTGGTCAGCAATACCGGGGCCCCGCAGGGGACTGTCCTCTCTCCCTTCCTCTTCACCCTCTACACCATGGACTTCAGCTATTGCACTGAGACCTGCCATCTTCAGAAGTTTTCTGATGACTCTGCTATAGTTGGATGTATCACCAAGGGTGATGAGGAAGAGTACAGGGCTGTTTTGGATAACTTTGTCACATGGTGTGAGCAGAACCATCTGCAGCTCAACGTGGCAAAGACAAAGGAACTGGCTGTGGATCTGAGGAGGACCAAGACATCGGTGACCCCTGTTTCCATCCAGGGGGTCAGTGTGGACATTGTGGAGGACTGTAAGTACCTGGGGGTACACACTGACAATAAATTGGACTGGGCTAAGAACACTAACGCTCTCTACAGGAAAGGCCAGAGCTGTCTCTATTTTCTGAGGCGACTGAGGTCCTTCAACATCTGCCGGGCTATGCTCCGGATTTTGTATGAGTCTGTGGTGGCCAGTGCTATTCTCTATGCTGTTGTGTGCTGGGGCAGCAAGCTGAGGGTGGCGGACGCCAACAGACTCAACAAACTGATCCGCAAGGCCAGTGACATTGTGGGAACAGAGTGTGACTCTCTGATGGTGGTGTCAGAGAGGAGGATGCTGTCTCAGTGCCACCAGATGCACAGCAGGTTTATTCCTCCATGTAAAACAATGTGGAAAGAATTAAAATCTATTTGTAACAGACAGCAGAGGAAGACAAGAAGCAGCTGTTTTGTTGGAGAAGTCAGAATGTGTCACTTTTTAAAAACGAACTAGCATTAAAAAACACTGAATAAATCAGTACATATGCATCAAAATTTTCAAAAAGATTAATATAAAACCTTGATGATAAGGTGAATAGAAGAGATGTAGAGGCCCGAAAGAGCTACACCAAATATAAAGGTTGTAGTGAATAATAAATAAAATCATGTTGAGGCTAATTTAGTAATTTCTTAATGTTTGATGTCACTTATGTCAGTAAATTCAAGACTTACCTGATATTACGTGGCTCAAATGTTAATGTTCTTAATTGCATTTACACATTGGACATAACTATTGGAGCATTCTCACCACATGGTGGTGTCCTTAAACACACACACTACCATACACACACACACAGGGTGGATCCTGACTTGACCCTGAGAAGAGTTTATTCTTACAGATCAGTCAGTGGGTTTAAACATGGCAGTTAGTTAGTTAGTAACTGTATTGTTCAAAATGTGGACCTAGCTGTTTATGTAACCACACAGCACTAAAAACAACACAAGCTGACTGATGAAGATAGACATGAAGAAGTCAGCATAAACAGGATGGACTTGCTGTACAGATTTTTGGCAGCTGTGCTCCCTTGAGGGTAAAGGGTGGGAAGGATCACTTCAGATCTAAAAAGCTTGGTTCCTTATATTTAATTTATATCTCTCGCTTGGTTACATCCGTGGCTCCCCTGCTGCAGAGCAGGCAGGATCTGACTGCCAGGGTAAATTTGTTCTCCTTTGTGAGAATATTCACAACCATTTTATCACTGATTTTGTGCATGGACTCTTAATAATCTCTTTGACTTTTTCTGTCAGCCACACCTTTATCATGTCTATACTGTCAGTCATGGTATGATGGGAGGAAAGCCAGTAGACTTGACTGAGCTTGTTTGCTGGAGATGCTGCACATATCATACAGTCTATATCAAAGGTGTCAAACTCATTTTAGTTTATGGGCCACAGACAGCCAAATTTGATCTCAAGGCTGGACCAGTAGAACTATTACATAATAAGTCATAAATAACAGAACCCCCATTTTCTGCCTATCTTTTACTGTAAAGTGCATTCTGAAATTGTTCATCATTTACAAAACAGATGATGAACAGCCTGAAATGTCTTAAGAAAATTAAGTGCAATTTCAACATGTTTCAGTTTTTCCACATTTAGTCAGCCTACTCACTGTCATTACATGTGCGTTTTTCCATACTGGTGTAGGAATGCTGGCACCAGCACAGCAAACTACAGTGGAAGCTAATGAGGGAGCACACTAAGTCAAGTTTTGGCAGTGCCTCAGCAATAGCCTTCCACCAACACTGTTTTAGAAGTCTGAACCAGTTTGTTTCGTACTGAAGCTGCTGATAAATGATATCCTGCACATGGAGTAGGCTACCCACTCTCTTAGCCTTCACTAATGCATCAATATTAGGGGTGCAAAGTCATCCAGTGGGCCTTATTAGACCCTCTGGCGGGCCAGTTCTAGCCCATAGGCCTTATGTTTGTCACCCCTGATCTGTATGGACTGGAGAACCCAACCATTGATCTAACAGTAGGTAAAAGCTGAGAGGAGTCAATGCAAAATCAGAACCATTGCAATATTCATATTCATAATGCAGCAGTCACTTGATTCATTTTAAATATCAAGAATATTATGCAGTGAGCTTTGTGAGGATATTTTGAGATGTGGGGTCAGTTTCAGATGAGCGCATCTTCAGCCTACTAAAAAAACGTATATGCAAAAAGAACACACAGCATATAATCACAGGCCTACTATCCTCCTGGGACACTGCGTCCTCACATGAAGACATCTCATTTTGGGTTTACTTGACCTTATACTTCATTCTGCTTCTTAACTTAAACCTGTTGTCCTCATTCGTGGACACTTTTTTGTCCCATCTAGTGGCCCTAGCAGAGCGCAGACAGAAGTGAAAGTTGTAACAAGGTTTCCGTCGGTGAACATGTGAAAGGATAGTTTGCACAACACACTAACATGGAGCCTGGGTTTGTTGAAGGTAGCAGTGTTGTTTGGGCTGAGAAAGCTTGTGAGTTTATCTTCTCTATCTCCTTTAACTTTAGCTTTTATTGGAGTTATGATATGTAGCATGTGAAATAGAGTATGGTGAATGTGCTAGGAAAGGTGGTATCAACACAGTCACTATCTGGAGCTCGCATAAACGGAGCCTGGGTTTGGTTGAAGGTGGCAGTGCTGTTTGGGCTGAGAAAGCCATGTGTAATGTAAGGTAAAGGAGGTTGTTGGGTTGGTGTGGGGACCAGTGAGACCTGGCATTAGGTGAGTGTCTCTGGGACGCCAGAGATCACTGTCTAGCCTCCTGGAGGTTTCGTGGGACCAACTAGACGAAACACTGGTGAAAGGAGGTTCCCACCTGATGACCCCAAAGACATGTTAGTTATCACTGCTCACTGGTCTGTACAGCATATTTAAGCCTTGCCATAATAGCTTATCATAGGGCTTAGGAGGTTATTCACTGAGCGCTGATCCTTTCTCTAGAGCACACATTTCTTGTGTTTATTTGAACTGAAATCCATGTAAAAACAAGATGGCAGCCATCTCTGTTAAGTCAGTCTGCAGCCAATCCCGACACAAAAGTGGCCAAGGTCCAAATCCTGATCAGATTTTATGGTTGAAAGTTTTTTTTATTTATGCTTTATAATGTTTGTAATTTGAGACTGAATACAAATATGACTAATTCTAGTAACAGTAGCAAGCCAAGACACTGTTAATTAGGTGTTAATTTTTGTACAAATACACTAGCTAGGAGAAATTAAAAATGCACACCACACAAAAGTACGTGTCTCAGGGGGTTAATGAATAATAAAATTCCACAGAAGTCAGTTATATATTAACTGTTTTATTTAAACATAAACAAAAGATGCAGTGTAAGTTTTACTTTTAAGTCTATGTAAAGCCATAAGATGTCAGTAAGAACTTGGGTCCATGCTCTTTCCAGCGCCTGCAGTGTGTTTGTGTAACCCTGGTGATTGGGCCGGAGGGGGCGGGTCCAGGATGCTGAGACGGCCTCTGATTGGCTGCTGAGCGTGGTGAGGAGTGGGACGGGAGCGCGCTGCCAGCTGTGAGGGTAGCAGAGAAAACAGCTAGGAAGAGTACTAAAGGGACAAAGAACCGCTGCTTCACATCTCATCCTGTCCAACAGGTTGGAAACTTCAAAGTCTGCGTGTTGAGAAGAGTTTACTGCGTGTTCTCCGTCTGTCACAGTAAGTGTTATCTGTCAACTCTTTGGCTAGCCGACCGTTGGTAGGACCCCGCACGTGCACAAATATGTGAAACTCTGGGAGTTAATTTAAGCTAACTTTATGTAAAGTGTCTTTTTTCGTCCTCTGTGTACGACTTTAAACATAAAAATGCTGTTAATTTGCATTTTACTCCTTTTAAATCTAATTTAAATGTATTTTCCATCCTATATTTGTTTTTATTGTTAAGCGTCACAGCACCCCAAAAGTTAGCTTTATCACAACATGGCTACTACAGTGTGTTGCATTATTATTATACCTAAATAACAACCCATATCTAATAGGAATTAGCATCACTTTGCTATTTGTGTCTGACTCTGCTGCAGACATTGCAGGAATTTCCCTAAGAAGCTGCAGGACTCTTCTAGCTCTCAATGAGGTCTTTCCTTTTGTCACTCACTGTGCATATTAAGATCTGTGCTGGCCAGGGCTTAACAGGCACTTGATGGTTGATTTGTGCTTTTCTGGAGTGAACAACAGACAATACAAGAGGGCTGGCTTTGACTGAGAAAGCAATAAATTCAGCATGTGGAGTATTGCACTTTCCAGCTGACTTGACTATCCTTGGCTACCTTTTACTGACTGGCAGCTTTCTCTTATTGTTTGGACTTATTGTTCTCATGCAAGACTGCATGTTTTACATTTCTTTAATGGTAACCTATCCGCTTTCAACCTGCTGTACATATAAGTCCGAGAAAGTGTCCACTGTGAACATTCTTCTGTGAGAGGTGGGTGTGTCTTCACTGGTTTTGTAAGCAACATATGTAACACATATTTAAGAGGAATCTGAAAAAATCTGCACTCCAAACTCTGACGGACTATTTTAAACCTCACATACAGTCGATTCTGTTACTCATAACTGCTGTTAGAAGAGACACATTGACAATATTAAAAGGCCAAATCAAAGTAGCTCCCTCCTCCTGCTGAACTTCCATGGCAGGGTAAACCAGATGTTTCAGATGACCACAAGCTCACGCCGTATGACAATTTATTGTGTACTGCTGCAGAGGTGCTTTCTCAAGCCTGTGCGCTCTTCAGTGTGTTTGGCTGTTGCTATGACGTCAACCTGGAAAGCACCCCCCTACCTAATTCCTCCCCTTAAACACACCAAACACGTAGGGGTCTCCTTAACTTTCACTGTCTTCCCTCCCTCCCTTTCCTCCAGGAGCATTCCTCCTAGGGGGCTTCTGGTCCCCCTCTGTTGACACTTTCATGGTTTGCCATGAAATACTGAGGTAGAGTCAACTTTCCCTCTGAACCTCCGTTGCATAGCCTCCAGGCACAGATCGGCAGATAAACGAGGGGGGCAGCACCCCACCCTGCTGGAGCCGACATTTGCTCGCCATTAAGGCTGTCAGAAAGACAGAAGGAGGAATCCTTTGTCTCAGCATCATAACTCGTTCTCACCCAAACCTTTCCAAATTCTCCTCCTTCTCTCTCTTCTTGGCAGTCCAATGTATTTTCACTGTTTGCTTAATATATTGTAAAACTGCGGTGAATTCTGTTAGTGATTCACAAGCGTATACTTGTGGTTGCGTAGAGGCCAGTGAGGGGTCTCAGGGAGTCTGATGAGCGCCAAACCAAACTGTTACAGCACAAGACGTTATACTGAAACTGCTCACTCGCTCAAATTATGGACAAAACTACCACACACCACAAATTACTGTCTGCCTCTGCAATGTGCAGTCCTCCGTTTAACTCTTTGGTTTTGGAAAATGTTGCTTTAAAGTCCATCTCATTCAGAAGTATTCAAAAAACACATCATCAGCACAGCTTCTGTTACTGACGCTTACATTCTTTTCTGTTATTATCTCCCTCTAGATCACTGTTGTTTCCTTCCTTGTCCTGCATCATGCTGCGTCCAGTTGCATTCCACTGTCTCTTGTCCACTTTGCTGTGCACATTGGCACTGTGCAGCGCCCAGTCAGACACTAGCGCCCCTGTAATCCAGCTACGTCTAGCTGGGGAGAAGCGGAAACACTACGAGGGTCGGGTGGAAGTTTTCTACAATGGAGAGTGGGGGACGGTGTGCGATGATGACTTCTCCATCTCTGCTGCGCAAGTGGTGTGCAGAGAGCTCGGCTTCATGAATGCAGAGTCCTGGTCACCCTCGGCCAAGTATGGAAGAGGAGAAGGTAAGAAAACTAGTATGGCGTCTGTTGGTTTCCAGGATTTGGTCTGGACCTTGTATTATCTAATGAGAGCCAAAATTTTGCTATTCATCTGTCCCAGAACTGAGCCGAGGGTTATAGGATGTCAATTTCAGTAAACCAGCAAACCACACACATTCAAAGGCAGTATATCTCTTCATACAGTTTCATATGTTCCATGGAAATCCTTGAATGAGGTACACGTTTCCTCCCGTCTGACTGCTAATCCCCTCAGGCACTGGTTTTCCCATTAGAGGAGCACAGAGACATGCCAATCAGCTCTGAGCATGGGGGGTATACTGGAAACACTGGGAGTGTAAACCAGACGCAGACATAATCTCATCTCCTCTCACTTTGTCCTGTATGAATTCCTCCATCACTGTAAAAACACTGATGGGAATCCCAACTCTGTACGTGCCGTAGCTGGTGGCTGCTGGCTGCTGGTGGTGAATGTCACTTGGTAGCTGTTAATTAACTCAGTGTCCCTTGTTAAAGGCACATGTTTTCCCACTGGGTCGGTCCACATTTAGCCAGCCACTTCAAAAGTGAAGTAATTAACTTTGTGACTTGTTCCCAAAACACCTCAGTAATTATAGCAATTTCAAAAATAACATATAGCATATAAAGTGATACACCCCATGCATATAATGTTGGATGCATATAAACATTTTACAAGCAGTTAACAAGAAGTCTGATGTATATGCCTGCGCTGGCTGTGCAGACAGACAGCTGTTTGCACTGCATTTTAGCTGAGGTAAAGATGGGAGGCTGTAGGGATGAGTTAGGGTATGCTAAAAGACACATGTCAATTTGAATGTTGTAAAGTTGCAGGTTTCTTATTAATGGGAGGGACAGGGAGTTTATTACTAAAGACTTACCAGACATTTTAAGGCAATGATGAGGAGGATTCTTCTCTTCCTGTCAATATGTTTAGTCTGTAACAAATTAATTTTGAAAGGAGAGTATTTAAGGCCCAGACTAGCTGTGTGCATGTGCTTGAATGGAAACTACTTTTATCTATTTTCTTGTTGTCAGTGGAGAAACATGGCTATAAAAGTGATCAAGAGCATTTTCCATTTCCCATCATGATGACTTATACACCAGTGAGAGAAACCACCAAATGTTTTTAATTGAAGACACGGCTGCATAACAAGTACAGGGACATCCCTTTTGGATGCAGAGCATTTTTCCTGCAGCGATGTTGATGGGATCCTCAGCTGCCCTCACACAGCTATTATTTGCAGTTGTGAAATCATGTTTGTGCAAAAAAAAAACAAAATCAGACAGAAAACTCTGCTTCAGACTACAACTTGATGCAACTGGACAAAATCCATTTTATTTAGATCTTCTTAGGAACACAGTGCTCCTTCCAGTGTGTTATGATTTTTAGTGAAGGATGGCAGGAGTTAAGTGGCTGGCTTAAAGTGCCAATAAAAGCCCAATCAAAAAATTCATGGCTTCGCTTTGCACTCTGCTTCCTGTTCTTTTCACTGGCTTGTGAAATTACAGTCCCATAAGATTTGCAAATGATAGTTTTAACGCAGCAATGCAGCTTTATCACAACTGACAATGCTGACTATTTGTTTAGACAAAGGTGTACTGAGACCAAGCTGCTTCTCACATGGAAACTCTGCTGTAGTTCAGCACCAAGAGGACTTGGCTCCTGTTGTGAAAATGTTCCAGAGGTAATCATCTCTCTGCCAGGAGCTTGCTACGTGACCGTATAACATGCAGTCACTTTCTCGGTATGATCAGGATGTTCCTCGGCAACATGTTCAGACTGTCAGAATGATGAGCAGTCCTTTGGTGGTTTCCATGGCTACAGTTCTGTGGTTTTCCTCACGGCTGGTTCAGAACAGCCAGCTGGACGGCAGATGATCCACTTCAGCCATGACAACATTTATTGGGCAGGCTGAAAGTTGCTGAAAGAATGCGTCAGGTTAAGCTGGAGACCAAACACGTCTCCATGTGAGTAGGTTTACTGTCTGTGTGACTAGACTTAAGTGGAAATGCTGAAATAGTTGACAAAATGGTGTGAGGCATGGTTTAAGCTGCCATGGTACATTTATATTTTCTCCAGAATGAATCCCTTATTAGGGGAGGTAAGTGGGAACTGACGCTTGTAGCCAGCTCAGTGGGAAGAGTGTTGCACCAGCGCTGCACGTGTAAAGGGTTTGATTTGTGATAGCAGGGGTGAAACACACAATATTTAATAAAAGTCTCAGAAACAGCATGTGCATCTTTAAACCATGTCTTGCATAAAACAGGTCATGCAGTTCAAGAAAGCAGCACAAATATATGAATTCCTCTTAAAGTCCCTGTGAAACAGAAGTTAGAGCATCTTTAGCTTCTGTGCTGTCACATATTTCCCATTGAAACTGAATATTTGAGCAGTGTACGTTTACAAGAAGGCTTTAAGTCAAATCTTTGCATTTGTCTGGACTGCTAAAAAGTGGGTGGGCTTAGAGTTTAGCATGATACAGAGCTACAGTGGAGTCCGCTTCTGAGGACTGTCGGCTCCACACACACCCTCCTCACCGTTAGATCAGGAGGAGGAGGATGAGGGAGAGATGAATGAGTTAGACCTCTGCCACATTGTTTTTGAAATGAAAACAAAGGTTTTGCCTACTGATATCCAAACACACATCTCTTCTGTCTCTCCATATTGCTCTGATAGCTAGCTTCTCCAACCCACAAACAGTAAAGTGTGGTTTTATTTGACCGGTGTGGCTAGTGAGTTACACAAAGTCTTATTTGATTGGATACTGATACTGATACTGGATACTGATTTTTTGACATATATTTGGCATATTACAATAGATAAATGATCAATAATGAGTGGACACATGATTAAAACTGTGAAAATGTATTTTTCATTTCATTGGGTCTTTAAATCTTTGCCTCTCTTTCCATTCCAGGCCGTATCTGGCTAGACAACGTGCACTGCTCTGGCGCAGAGAAGAGCCTGGCTCAGTGTCACTCCAATGGCTTTGGAGTGTCGGACTGCAAACACTCAGAAGATGTCGGAGTGGTGTGCACCCAGAAGCGCATTCCAGGCTTCAAGTTCATCCAGAACCAGGCCAACATGGATGAGGTAGGTTCCCATGGAGCAGCACACTGACAATTAAACCTGGACACATAAAGGACCCTCACAGTAAACAGATGCGCGCACATGAACTCACAAATGTAAACACCAGGGTGGGATCGCTTGATCACATAGTTAATAACACTGAAGTAGCATCCACTTATGGTTCAAGTACGCACACGTAACTTAAACAGATGTTCAGCACAATAAAAAAAGGATAGGCTTCAGATGAAAGAAAAACCTTATCATAGTGCAGAGCTCAGAGGAACTCAAAGTATTTTCTTTAAATCCTTCCAAGTTTCCAGATTTGAGCCAGACAGATCATTGGACTGAATGTAATGTCTGTCTGCAATTATTAAGAGGAGCAATATTTTTGCTGCTCTGCTGTAGGTTACCATTGTAAAATTATGCAACAGGTCCTAAACAAAATAACCCACGTGTCGTGTAAGAAAAACAGATCATCCATTTATCTTTCGGATTCACTGAATAACTGCTCCAAACTGGGCCACTGAGAATCTGTTTATAGACCAGGATTTGGTTGCAGCAGCTATTGTAAATCTATAACAAAGTTTGTGAACAAAGTCCCTCCTAAAATCTATGTTTCAGCTAGCTTTTAAAGTAGTGGTTTATTAAATTAGGTTGCACCAGTCAAAATTTAGAAACACCTTGGCCAGTTGAGACTCTGTTAATCTATAAATGGGTTGCTATGAAAAATCTGTTGCATTGTCTAATCAAAAACAGTCAACCATGAAAACAGGAAGTTGCTGTAGCATCACAAGCTGCAATCTAACTGCCAAAACTTACAGTTTCAGAAAAAAAATGGTTAAACCTAACAACCAATCTTTTTGTAAATGTAGGTATCATTTGCTCATCCGGTTGTATGGCTTTTTCAACTGTAAATTATGTCCCCAAAGGAAAACTTTGTCAGCATCTGTTTTATCTAGTACGCCACCAAAAGTTTAATTTGTATTTGAAATATTAATAGTTTGTATAATAAAAAAAATCGATACTTGGAGTTTGTGTATCGATACGATACTGCCTCACCTAAATATCGCGATACTATGCTGTATAAATTTTTCCCCCCAGCCCTACGTGTAACCAAATGTCACACTTAAGTTGAGAGGCAAAAAGAAATGGGAGCTCAACAGGCAAACATTTATAGTGAGAGCCACGCCCAAATAACTCAGCAACTTGAGGCATTGACTGATGACGTGTCTCCCGTATCATATCGAGGCAATGCCGTTATGTCCTAAAGGGACATTTCATAATTTTAAGTCTTTTACTTTTCCCTCAGTTAAGCTAACAAGCTAACTGTACAAGTTACAGCTGGAAGTTTGTAGGGCATAAATGTTCTTTAAAATTCATCTCTATGTACAAACTGGTATGTGTACATCCTATTTTAAATGAAGTGATGCATAAATTTCCACTCAGTACAGGGAAACACTTATGTTATAATGAGGCTTAGTTAATAAGTACTTACGAACAGCTGTTGCAGCCGGATCCAGTATGTTGCACTGTATGATTAAATGGATACAAGTGGTAATCAAAGTAATGGCCTTATGGACACTAAATCAGCGTCTGGAAGAAATGAGACAGCAGTTCTCACGTTTTCAGTCACATCTGCCACAACATGAAGCCAGTGAAACAATCTACAAGTCAGTGCATAATGTCGAGCTGTTTGCTCCACCATTTGCACTAATGACTTTGCCAGGCTCCTATTAGTCTATCCCTGCCCACAACAGACCCCCACTCTGCAGCCTGGGAGATTTTGGAGATGACTCAGAGAGGGGGAAGACCATCCTGTCTGACTGCAGAGAACGCCTTTGTACCGGATGGAAAGTCAGTGTGGGTTTGTGGACATGACGGGAGAAAGGGAGGGAGAGAACAGGACAGAGGTATTATTTCAGCTTGTCTGAGATATTGCCATAGAGGGTTTCCCTGTTAAAGCCAGACTGATAGAAATGAAGCAACGCTTCTTTGGCAGCTCAGAAGACAGTCAATGCTTTGATATTTCATGACTGCATTCATACCAGAGTGTTTTGTTTGTTCATACTAGAAGTTGTGTGGGAGATTTGTCTGTGTTGCCAGACTTTCTACAACTGCTGGAAGAGTGACTGTGATTTTTACTGGCTTCAGTAAAGGCAACACACCTGAAGGTTATCTGATATCCCTGTGTGTCTTTCTCATGCCGAGTTGAGTCATGGGAAGGAAGGAATAGAAGACAGGAGAAATAGAAATCTTTAATCACAGACTACTGAACCATATTTTCAGTGTTCTTATTTCACAGGCCATGTGTGTAGGCAGCACCCTCTTGCCCCCTGTTTGTCCTGTGTATTTAAGGTTTTTAGGGTGTTACTGCATTTCAGTCCACCACCCTGTAAATATTTCCTTGGTCTGGCGGTGGCCTTTCAAGTCGCAGGGGAGAGGAATGGGAAAAGGTGTAGCTACACCTCCTTAACCATGCTTGACCTGACGTCAGCAATGGGCAGCACTGTTCCTTGAATCTGTTTATTCACAGCATGAATTGACATTCTGTGCTCAATGTGGAAAGTTAACACCCTAATCGAGCGTGCACTACAGTCCAAGTCCAGGTCAATGCTAAAAGAGTGGAGCAGTTGGTATTTTTGCGTCTATGTGAATGGTTTCCAACTTTCAAGATCATAAATCGTTATATGTTTGAAATATGAAGTGTGCAGCTTGCCAGGGGCTTTGTCTGTACTCTCCTAACTTGTAGTGGCAGTGATGTGTCTGTTCATGTTGATATGATTTAGGCGAAACTACTGAATTTGAGTTACAGATTTTGTATTGCCTCCAGTTTCTTCAAACAGCAATTATTTTGTTTTTGTGAGAGATACATCATGAGACTACTTTTTAGCTTATGGGAATATGTGAAGATAAGACTATAAGCTCACTCTGGTGAGTTCGGCTTTGACCACAAATAATAGTCTACTGAAAGCATCAGTCTGTCATTAATGAAAACAGAAGCTTCCACTGGCACACGTTGGATTTGAAGACACGTTACCCTATATGAGGAACTAATATGAGGGCATTAGTTTACCAAATATGACATTTATATCAAGTTTTCTCTGAGTGTCTTTCTCAGTCAGTCCAAGCTCTTGTCACATTGGTCGTTTAAAGGGGATGTATCGTTATTATTAATAACCTCAGGCTTCAGACCGTTCTGACTGTTCCATTCCAGTGTTTTTTTCCTACTTTGGCTACAAGCTGAAGTTGGTGCATGACAGGTTTCTGTATATGGTTATGTGCTCCAGGCACGCTATAGCAAATTTTTGTATTACGTACACTGCTACATGTAGCTACATGCTAACGTTGCTAAAATGTGCTAACATGTCTTGGGGGGTGTTGTGTGTCTCTTCATATCATTCTGTATCCCCTCTCTAAAATTAGAGGTTTTTGCAGTTTCATGAATGCAGAACTCTTCCTAGTTGTTTTACCCCTCAGTAGGAGATTGTGGCATTTGAGCTGCAGGTTAGATAATTGATCAGTCGATCCGAGGCAGAGCTGATATGATCAGCTCGATGGATGAGAGGAGCAACTGCTGCAAAAGCGGGTAAAGGCAAACTCTTAGACCCAATGCAATACATGGTTAAGTTTCACTTTCACTGTGCCTGCAGCTTTTACTGCTCAATCTGTACCCAGAGTACGCTCTGTGCTCCGAGAGCGTGGAGCAATTAATAACTGAACAGCATATATATTCCAATAACTCTTCTAATGAATGGTCCAGCTCCAAAAACATAAAACAAAGTGTGGCATCAGTTGTTGTTATCTTGGCAGGCCGGCACGAATAAATGTATGCGTGGGAAACCCTGGGGTTTTGTTTAGAAGTTTTTTATTGGTGATTGTTCATGGTAGAAAATTCCAGCATTATTAATAAAGTCATTCCCCAGCTGTAATGACGGTGCAGTGATGGGAGATGCACAAGAACTGTAAGTGCTGACCGATGAGAGCAGACAACACTTTTATAGGAAGGGGCATATAGAGGCAGGCTTAAACGGAGTGTCTCAGATGGAGGATAAATACAAGTGTTCCAGAACATAGTGTAAGGAAAACAAAGTGTTTTTCCCTGTTAAAGCATGTAAACAATTTCCAGAAGAAACCCAGAGCACAAGTACGAACCTGAAAACGAGCGAGTTAGATCCTCCATAACGTCTGACCTTCCCAACTGCTGCTTGTCAGTCCTTATACTGTCTGCTACCGATCTGTCCACTGAATACAAAGCCATATGTCCTGCCACCATCAGCTAATTATGCAACACTCCTGACACAGAACCTACATTCCTGGCTGACTGAGTCATTGTCATGAATTATGTTAATTATCTTAATATGCCGCATCTAATGCCCCTTTAATGTTTTTATGCCTTTTTTTATTGTCTGTCTAACCAGGCAGAGTTGCTTAATTTATGAGCATGTGTTTGGTCTTTCAGTCAGTAGGAGGGAATACATTTGTCAGCAGAACCAAACAATAAGATGGCAAGAGCCTTTGTTTAGCATCTGTTTGTTAGTAGAGACTTTTAAACCAAGTCTGCCATATTTGGTTCTTCACGTGTGAATGGCCCGCTTCACGTGTCATCAGTGCCCACAGGATCATTGCTAAATACATCTCCTTCATTTAGGGATAATTAAAGGTTCATGATTTTTCATGGTTTTCTAAAAAGTTGGAATTGCTGGCATTATCCCATACACTGTCCCCCGTAGAAGAGAAATTTCCAGTGGGAACTGCAGTTTAAGTAAGCTTGAATCACTTATTCATGCCTGTTTGATCATTTACAAACTGCTGTAGGTAAAGAAAATAAGCAATTTTCAGATAGATAAATAAAACACTACTGCTTCCAGAACCTTGGACATTATTATAAACAGATTACAAGTCTGGATGAGTTCATCTCCTGAGGAAAGATGAAGTCTTCTTCCTGAGGGGAGGGGGAAAAAAGAGCACCAAAAGCAGCTGCAATTGCCCGCTGCACCACTTAGTGTGTTTACTCCAACCAAACA